GTTGCCATTTGTTATTGTTGGTAGACAGGACTTTCGTGGCTTCCCACATGATGTTTTGGCCTTGGTTCTTGAGGATGTGTTCGGAAATAGCGTATTTCAGTCTAGTTTTTTGACAGAGGTCATAATATACATGTATATGTACTCCAATACAATAGTAAAATCTTTGATCGAATTTGTAGCATTAATTGATATAACACAATAATCACTTAAACTGGCGCCAATGTTTCAAAACAAAGTCATTGGTCCAGTCATGGCGTCAGACGTAATTTATAATATTGAGACCAAGTGTACCACATATACCAATTAATGATTGCCCATACCCATTTATCTGCTATTTGGAGATTTTTTATCCTGTATCCTGTTCTGTATTTTCCTATAATGATAGTTGTAAACATAAGCAAAGGTGTAATTTTCTTTCACCGTACGTTCTTGCATTAAAATATCACCCCCATCGAAAATATTGGATCATTATCGAAATGTTTCAGGAGATCAATAATCTATCCTCCAGGTGAAAAACACATTCGAGGTGTTATTTCTATCATAATGGGGTGAATATTGTGGAGGGATATATGAGCGAATGTCTTGTAAATGTTTATTTAAGAAATATACCCATATGTAAGGTATGAAGGCACTTTACATATTCACTGAAACAATTTCTCACCGACACTGCTATGCCACCCGAGTAGCGTCCCCTGCATTTTGTGAACGCTGTGTAGCAATCTGAGACAGGGTCTGATAAACACAAAAATATGACGAAATATCAAAACCATGCAACCATGTCCCTGTTAGTCCTATCATATAAAATGTATTTATATGATTAATAAAATCTATATCATCAAGTTTAGTCAAAGAACTTTCTATATTCCAGAAACAGCATGTTATTTTATGTATCTTCACTAAGGCCGTCCCGTGTCCCATAAACGAGATGTTCTCCCGTTGCTGGACTGTCCACCAGTTAGTCTCTTGTCCACGACGCGTGCCTGTCAAGACGTGGCCATACCCACGACGCGGCTGTTGTGCGTTGGAGTCAACACGTAGGAGGCCGCCTCTGTAGTAGTCACGTCTACCTTTTTCCCGTAGGGCACAAAGTCTCTGTCTTAAAACACTCACGCCCTTCACCTGGAATTGGTATCATGCTTTCATCACTAATAGCTGGGCATCCAGTGATGTGGACTAATGTTGTTTGGCTGTTTCTTTCCAAGTTGGTGAGCTCTCTTGATGTCCGTGTAGTCTGGATTAGTCAAAGGAAAAATCAATTATCAAATCTACCACTGTTGACTTAGACTGCCCAAAGTAACCATCCCGTTTCAGGGATACCATAAAATATTATTATTCCACCTACTATAAGCATCAAGTCTGTCTAAATCAGCTTCCAAAGTCTCGGTTACATCATCCTTTTCTTTTAATTTCTTGATTCTGTCCTCAAAAGAGTCCTGCTTGTCTGCAGTGCTCAAATATCAGCCTAGATGATCCTCTGTAAGTCCGACTGCAAAGAATGGATGTCATTTCGCAAGTCGCCAATCTCCTCAGTAACATCAGATCTGAAGCCTTTAATTTCATTCATAATATCCTCCAATGTAGTGTTAGGCCCAGGGTTCAGTTCTACACCTCCCGCTAGCAGTAACATCAGCGGCGTCAGGGAGATGTACATTACAAAGGTTACATCCTTGTTACATCCTTCACACACCACGTAAAAGGCGTGGACGATCCAATGTTTCGAATTTGACGACATGGCAGATTCAAATAAGACATCGTGGTGTTGCAAAGGCCAATCTCTTTACACATTACAGTACTTACAAGTAATATACCGATGAAAAATGCACCACAAATCAAAAGGCGATACATGAGCTCGTCGATTATGTCAACGTTGTTTCCCATGTGTAGGGATGCACTGTGCCCTCTAGGATTCGTTAATTCCCCGAGCCAAGCTCTCCGTACATCTTATATTCCCTTTGATGTTTCTGGTACTTCGAGGGGCACGGGTGGCCCAGTCGTCTAAGGCGCCGCGATTCGCTGTGAGGAGTGGCATCCCTTGGGCACGCCAGAAACCTATGATTGTGGGTTCGAATCCCGATTCGCCCCGATTATGTTTCTAGGTTTTGTCAGCACCATACCCGTGCTCGTGGTAAACGTCTGAGACCTGCATCAGTTCGGGCTTTCCTGCCACATTAAGCTGACACGCCGTGATATCACTGGAATACTGTTAAAAGCGGCGTTAAACCTAAATCACTCACTCTGATACTTCGAACCTTCAAGGTAAGTTAGAAATAGGCGTATTTCAGCGTAAATGCCTCTGTTTACAATCCGTGGACCTCCATGTACCACGCATGAGCACCAGAAAGGAATTCAGTGGTCGTTTGTTCGTTGTCCAACCATGTTGGCATAATAGTTTACTCACGCTCAACCTGCACCTAAGGCATCCTATTCTACCCCATAAAAAGATTTTAAAACATATACACATTTTCCGATACAAACGTGGTGGTGACACCGATGTGGGTCTCAAACTCAATGAATTTAAGGCCCCCCTCTGATTTTTCATGTGAGAATAGTTAATTAGGCGGGTATTGCAACACACAGTCTACCCATTATTGTGAGTGTTCTTAAACTAGTTTTGAGTATTACATTGATAGCTGAATATGTTAACCTCATCATCCATAACATATTCCAGACGTTTCTGGAAAATAAAAGATCGCTGCCCGTGACAATATTGAAAAAAAGCTTTAAACAAACACCTTTTGTACCGTCATCACCTCAATGTCCAAATTCAGTACAAATCATCTATCGGTCAAAAACATTTATAAAGGTTAAGGGCCCCGTCTAAAAACATTTGACAAGAAGATCCGGGTTAGAACTGGTCTTCAGCAACCTATGTTTGTCCAAAGAGGCGACTAACAGGATCGGGTCGTCAGACGCGATGACTAGGTTGATGCATGTCATAATCCTGATTGCGTGGATCGATACTCATGATGTTAATCACTAGATTGGCGGGTCGAGACTCGATTATCCACACACAGTCGTCACATAGCTGGAATATTGCTGAGTACGACGTTAAACAACAAACAGAAAACAAAGAAAATACATTCGATAGCACAAAGGAAACAATGCTCTGTATTGGTGCATGTTGCGTATTTTCCATCAGGTTGTTTCCTCTTATTTTGTAGCAATGATGCAACAATTACTTTGTTACATTCCACCATATGGACCATCCATAATATGAATGAAATAGGGCCTTGCGATTGTAAACATTATCTAAAATATTTACCCATGTCATTTTCAATCACTTGCATATACATTCTTCACAAACCACAACCAACAAAGCATGACTGTACTTAATGTTCTCGTACATTTGGGACAATATGACACTTTTAGTGTGATTGTGACAAATTAATAGACTTACGGATACACACTACAAGTAGCTCAAGAGAATACAGACAGCAAACGTTCCACAGATTCAGAATACTTTGACAGGCCTCTTCAACGAATCAATACAACTAAAATATACAGGGTATATTGGATACAAACTGGATTTGCCTGGACAGACAAAAACAAATCGACAGATTGAAGCTATGGAGCCATATTCACCGACTCTCAATATCAAGCAAGTTTATTATGAGAAATGACTTTTTTACGACCATACCATATACGTCTACTGATACATGGGGTATATTCATATATAGTTGATGAGGCAACAGGACTACGCCTTCTTTCTCCACTACACGTGTGTCAGCTTCAGAGAAAATTGATGTTTACCTATTGATCTGTAATTGGAGAAAGTGTTCCTAGATGTGATCACGAGCATACTTCACACTCGTGGGGGATTTCACGCCGTGATGTCAATTACATCACGGCATGGATAATTGATGTTATACATGTCTGACATTTGTTTGTTGTTTATTCTTTAACGCCGAACTCAGCAATATTCCAGCTGTAAACAATCGAGTTTGGACCAGACAATATAGTGATTGAAATGATGAACATCTATCTTAGCTATTGGGATACGATGACATGTATCAGCCAAGTCAGCCATTGACGTTTATCACTTGGGTGAAACCCATGAGCACGGGTATGGTGCTGACAAACCTAGACATTTAATCAGGGCGAAACGAGATTCGTACCCACGACCAGAGGTTAAATTTCAAGCACGCCTTAGGGGCGGACATTCCATCACGCCCCTTGATTACATCACAGTAGCCAGCCATTAACAAAATGAGTTATCCTTACTCAGCAATATTCCAGCCATATGGCGGCTGTCTGTAAATAATCGTATCTGGACCGGGAATCCAGTGATTGATATCATGAGCATCGATCTACGCAATTGGGACACGATGACATGCATCGACCAAGTCATCGAGTCTAACCACTCGATCCCGTTAGTTGCCTCTTACGACAAGCATGGGTTGCTGAAGACCTATTCTAACCCGGATCTTCACTGGTATCTTGGGCAAGACGTTTGAAGAATTGCAGCTGTTTGAAATGTCTTCTTAAAGCAGAGTCGGTTGTACGATTTCGATGATATCATAAGAATTTATGCTTGAATCACTATCAATAAGTGATGATAGCAGGTGTTTGCGAAACTACGAGCTTATTCTGTCCCACCAGTGGCACCAATCACAAACACATGCAAAGGCAAGTAAAATGTTAACCTGAATACGGGAAAACATGGTACAAGTCAAAATCCGGAATTGCATCAGACACTAGTTTGGTCACTGATGTGTAAAATCTGGAAATTGACTCCACATGTCTACCACAAAACAATTTGAAAGAAGGCATTGGCTGGTATTGGTAGATTGGAAGTTTCCAAAATAACTTTAAGTGTAAGATGGCCATTCAACCAGGGTGTCATTGTACAAAGCAATCTTAGCCCTAAGGTGATCGTATCTCCCATACCTTAACATAGGCTTACGACAGTCGACAGTCGTAACGCTGAGTTGTTTTGTACAACCGCACCCAGGACCTCAGAAATTCGATACACGTGTACATATCACTGAACTTTTACTTGATGCTTTTACTATATTTCTTTATTCAGTGCAAAGTTGAATACATAGTTTGGCCGACAAACAAAGCATATAAGAACAAACAATTTAGTAGAATCAAAGCTAAACGTAGTATGGTATTGACATATGTCTGTGTATGAAATCTGTCATATTTTTCAAACTATGGTTAACGAATATATTTGGTTATGGTGTGAGTGCTGGAGGCATATACATATTTAATTTTTATACGTAAAATGGACATTTAATAACAACATGGATTATAACAATAACAATGTGGATACAAAGTATGAAGCCCTTTCTGGAGTACGCCATTGTGATGATTCTGGGTAATTGTTGAAGGCGGCTGGAAACTACTGTGTGAGTCACTCATCGATCATAAAAGCAGATTATAAGCAAAGTAAGCTTGAAACAATACAATAAGAAACCGATGTAGGACATATGTAGAACTTCATCCAAGACTGCTAGAAGATCCTGGACACAGCAACGACGATGAAAGCATCTGGAATAAATTTGAATCCACTTTTATTGGATTGTAAACAAAAGCATGAATGGTGATACATGAAATGGTACATTCTCCAACAGAAAGTTATTGTCTTGAATTATCACCTTGCAAATATTCAGACATGACACAACCTATCGATTGACAACATCCCTTAATATGTTATACACAATGGGAGTCTAAAATATATAATTGTAATCCCCACGAGAGGGCATCGTAAGTCCATGCCACTCAAAGAATTGTTATATTTAACACTGTTTTAATGTAGAATATTTGTTAATTGTAATTGATGGCTAAAGGTGCATACAATAGACAGATACTGAAAGTATGGGATGTTCAAAAGTAGGCAACTCGACAACAAAGATTGTGTGAGTAAGTGTATCTCCAAGCTACGGCGAACTGTACATAATCATGTGAACAATCCACGAAACGCAATCAGCCATGTGCCAAAGCTTCATGATTCAAAGAATCAGTTTAATTATATACATCGAATTCAGCTGAAATTTGCAACATCCACAGAGGTAACTTTATTTAAGAAAACATTTGGAATTTGTTTCCAGCGTTTATATGATAAAACGTTTGAGAGGAACGAGAAATACAATGTACTCACATGTACCCACAGATCCTGGCTTGAAACTGCATGCCGAGTCCTTTACAAGGAACTAGAAATACATACGATTGAAGAAAGTATAGTCTGTAAATGTATTGTACTTCTATTTATGATCAACAGGTCAACTGACAAAAAGATACAGACAAAATGGGCTCAGCTGTCGAGAACACACCTTTTCTCTCGCCCCGTTAACCACACACAAACCACCCCTACACCACATAATTACTTCACAATATAATTGTATGAACCCAGTGTCACAAACGAACCTCGCGTCTCAAACAAAACCGTAAGTAAAAGCTTGTGGAATGCAAAGGGAGACAATTCAGTGATCGCACAACGTGTATTCCAGTGAGTGAGTGAGCGAGTTGCGTTTGACGCCGCTTTTAACAGTATTCCAGTTATATCGCGGCGTATCCGCGTAATGTGGGAGGAACGCCCGAAGTGATGCAGGTCTCAGACGTTTACCACTTCGGTGAAACCCACGAGGAGGGGTATGGTGCTGACAAACCTAGAAACATAATCGGGGCGAACCGGGATTCGAACCCACAATCATAGGTTTCTGGCAACTCTGCACAGCGAATCGCAGCGCCTTAGACGACTGGGCCACACGCACCCCGCTGTATTCCAGTAGAAAATATTGTCGTAAGTATAAATTTACACCATTTTACCTCTTACCAAGCGTTTTGAGGTCGACTTTGAAAACGAGATCAATATTATACTGTTACGAATGGTCGTGACATGACAAGTATCATTATATTCCATAACATATGCTGCTATTTGACATTCGTTGATGGATATGCCATAACATCTTGGTATTGTTACGATCCAGGATGATGGTCGAGACAAAGACTCACCTGATTCTGGCATTCATTGCCGCTCCATTGTGGCTGGCATCCATTTGGACACACGCCGGTCGCAGCGTCACACACGTCTCCTCTTCCACAGAAGCCACACTGCCTGCTACACCCTTCCCCATAGGTGCCTTGAGGGCATTCCAGCTCGCATGTGGACCCTCTCCACCCGACACTGCATCCACCATGACACACACCCGTAGTGGAGTCACATGGCTGATTAGACTTACAGTGTCCACACCTGTGCTGGCAATTACTTCCATAGAGTCCCTTCCTGCAGTCTGAAATAAATCGACCTCATACAATATTTATGCAAACCCTGATAGATACTGCACCACAACGTGTGTTGAACTACAAATAATAATGTCTATTATGCAACATTAAATATCACATTCACTCAATATTGCAAGCTAATATAAAGAGTGAGTGAGAATGGTTTTACGCCGCTTTTAGCAATATTCCAGCAATATCACAGCGGAACACCAGAAATGGGCTTCACACATTGTACCCATGTCGGGAATTGAACCCGGGTCTTCGGCGTGACGAGTGAATAATCAAAAAAGATACTTGATGCTATCACACTATTGCCTCTCATTTAAAAGCAATTATGGAACGAGTACTTTTTCAAGAAAGTCTTGTCTCAAATATAACATTTGTTACTTTTTCGATGTTGATGTCCAATTTTCGACGTATATGCATCGCTTTGATATTCAAATTTAAGGTTTAATAATATTAACCATACAAACGCAATTTTTTCTCCTTATGTTTAGCTTTATCGCCCTAATTTTCAATTAGTGATGCTGTTGCGAGGGGCTTTATTAGTAGCATCAAACAAACATGTATAAAACCCATGTATAATGCATGTGTACCAATTCTTTTCTATGATAGATGCATCTGCAGTATTCTTGCAGCTGAAACTGGAGCAAACAACCAAGCAAGACATTAGTGCTCAGTCAAAATTGAACGTTTGAGATGACTTGATCAACATTGGGCCAATCATAACCCCAATATTGGTGAAACAGTCGTTTATACAGCGTGGCATGGTCCGGAATAGTCTCCCAATGACAATTTGAGGGAGTCGTGTCTACTCCTTTTGCAGCACCTAACGTAGCAGGTTACCTTTGGCGTACGCGTCTCCTGCTCATGTCCTAGACATGATACGTTGGGCAAGGGTCAGGACACCCGGCTGGCCATTGCATTCGGGTGATGTTTTGCTACTGGAAGTAATCAGTCACGGTACGTGCGGGGTGAACACGAAAATTATCGTCTTGGAAGACAAAACAAAGACCAGCCTTGCACACAAACGTCACAACTATTGTACGCAGTATGTTGCCTCGGAAATATTGTCCACTGACCTATGAACAATATGCAATGGCGTTCTCTCAGCCATAGTGATACCACCCTACATACAGACCAAACCTAAATCTGTCATGTTGCCATACGTTGACTTTCGCGTGACGTTCCTATGGACGGTTTGAGAAATGTCCATGCCTATCCAGGAGTGAATCTGGACTCCTCTGAAAACATTACACGAGACCATCGGTGATTCTCACAGTTTCTATGTTCTAAACATCATTGTAGTGTAACGGAGTTCCTTCCATTTACCTTTTTCCTGACACATGTTGCCCGTCCAACCTGATTGGCAACCGCTTGGACACTGTCCAGTCTCTTGGTGACATGTGGTCCCTGTTTGACAATGTCCGCACGGCAAAGAGCATTCCTTGCCGTATGTTCCACGACACACTAATGAACATACAATAGGGATATGACTATGTGAAGGGATAAATATTCTTGGAATACTTACAATGTCGATATCATGTCGGATTGAAAGTATCTATTAATTTGCCCAACCTCAGCACTTTCAGTGCAGAGGTTCCCTCTATACTTACTAGTATCATAGTTCCAAAATACGTCATATTTTATTCTAATTTTTTATGAATAATTTTGACTTTATAAAATTAAAATAAAACAACATTACTTCTGTACATTACTCAATAATTAGTGTACCAAAAGTCTATCTCAGTCATGTTGATAGCGTTAAGCGTTAAGACTACATGCAAGTTTCGTCCGAAGTCTAAAATCAGTTGGCATATACGTCCGCCTCCATTGTCAAGTTTTACTTGATAAGCGTAACGCGCTAATCGTTAAGACGACCGGACATAGAAGTAACATTTCCGAGAATCCTTATGTAATGCTACAATAACAGGGTGTTTGGGCGGGGGAGCTTGCCTCTCACTCAACAGCTTGAATAAAATGATTTCGTAAATAAGTGTAAAATTTAATTACCAAAGAAGATACAAAATACGTGTTCGCTGAAATGTATCCCCGACGGATGTCACTGATCATGTTGTCGCAAGCCATTATGGAACGAGTACTTTTTCAAGAAAGGGTTGTCTCATGTAACATTTGTTACTTTTTCGTTGTCGATGTCCAATTTTCGACGTATATGCATCGCTTTGTTATTCCAATTTAAGGTTTAATAATATTAAACCATACAAACGCAAGTGAGGTAATATTTTCTGCTTATGTTTAGCTTTATCGCCCTAATTTTCAATTAGTGATGCTGTCGCGAGGGGCTTTATTAGTAGCATCAAACAAACATGTATAAAACCGGTATAATGCATGTGTACCAATTCTTTTCTATGATAGATGCATCTGCAGTATTCTTGCAGCTGAAACTGGAGCAAACAACCAAGCAAGACATTAGTGCTCAGTCAAAAATGAACGTTTGAGATGACTTGATCAACATTGGGCCAATCATAACCCCAATATTGGTGAAACAGTCGTTTATACAGCGTGGCATGGTCCGGAATAGTCTCCCAATGACAATTTGAGGGAGTCGTGTCTACTCCTTTTGCAGCACCTAACGTAGCAGGTTACCTTTGGCGTACGTGTCTCCTGCTCATGTCCTAGACATGATACGTTGGGCAAGGGTCAGGACACCCGGCTGGCCATTGCATTCGGGTGATGTTTTGCTACTGGAAGTAATCAGTCACGGTACGTGCGGGGTGAACACGAAAATTATCGTCTTGGAAGACAAAACAAAGACCAGCCTTGCACGCAAACGTCACAACTATTGTACGCAGTATGTTGCCTCGGAAATATTGTCCACTGACCTATGAACAATATGCAATGGCGTTCTCTCAGCCATAGTGATACCACCCTACATACAGACCAAACCTAAATCTGTCATGTTGCCATACGTTGACTTTCGCGTGACGTTCCTATGGACGGTTTGAGAAATGTCCATGCCTATCCAGGAGTGAATCTGGACTCCTCTGAAAACATTACACGAGACCATCGGTGATTCTCACAGTTTCTATGTTCTAAACATCATTGTAGTGTAACGGAGTTCCTTCCATTTACCTTTTTCCTGACACATGTTGCCCGTCCAACCTGATTGGCAACCGCTTGGACACTGTCCAGTCTCTTGGTGACATGTGGTCCCTGTTTGACAATGTCCGCACGGCAAAGAGCATTCCTTGCCGTATGTTCCACGACACACTAATGAACATACAATAGGGATATGACTATGTGAAGGGATAAATATTCTTGGAATACTTACAATGTCGATATCATGTCGGATTGAAAGTATCTATTAATTTGCCCAACCTCAGCACTTTCAGTTCAGAGGTTCCCTCTATACTTACTAGTATCATAGTTCCAGAATACGTCATATTTTATTCTAATTTTTTATGAATAATTTTGACTTTATAAATAAATATAAACAACATAATTTGTGTACATGACTCAATAATTAGTGTACTAAAAGTCTATCTCAGTCATGTTGATAGCGTTAAGCGTTAAGACTACATGCATGTTTCGTCCGAAGTCTAAAATCAGTTGGCATATACGTCCGCCTTCATTGCCAAGTTTTACTTGATAAGCGTAACGCGCTCATCGTTAAGACGACACGTCCGGACATAGAAAGAAAAAAAATTCCGAGAAAACTTATGTAAGATTAGCAACATTGTGTAAGCATTGTGTAGCTACATTAAATAAGTTATAATTGAACATGCGACAATATTATGACATCTAAGAGCATCGGTGGTATAAAAAACGGCCTTTATTCGGGGTATCTCACTGATGAGATACACCGAATAAAGACTGACCACTAATTGATGCTTCTCTTGGTTGTTTTAACGCGTGCGGTCCCAGGCTTATTCCCCGAAAACAAAATTCAGGCATTATAATCAGCCAAGAACAAACGAATATTCAAAGGTTATTATACAGGTCATAAGGTTTATTGATTACCAGTGTAAAAGTACAAACGTAATAATAATAATAATAATAATCAGTGTTGATTTTGTTGATGGTTTTCTACTGCTGGACGGCACAGTAATGAGTAGCCTTGCTACAATAACAGGGTGTTTGGGTGGGGGAGCTTGTCTCTCACTCAACAGCTTGAATAAAATGATTTCGTAAATAAGTGTAAAATTTAATTACCAAAGAAGATACAAAATACGTGTTCGCTGAAATGTATCCCCGACGGATGTCACTGATCATGTTGTCACAAGCCATTATGGAACGAGTACTTTTTCAAGAAAGTCTTGTCTCATGTAACATTTGTTACTTTTTCGTTGTCGATGTCCAATTTTCGACGTATATGCATCGCTTTGTTATTCCAATTTAAGGTTTAATAATATTAAACCATACAAACGCAAGCGAGGTAATTTTTTCTGCTTATGTTTAGCTTTATCGCCCTAATTTTCAATTAGTGATGCTGTCGCGAGGGGCTTTATTAGTAGCATCAAACAAACATGTATAAAACCGGTATAATGCATGTGTACCAATTCTTTTCTATGATAGATGCATCTGCAGTATTCTTGCAGCTGAAACTGGAGCAAACAACCAAGCAAGACATTAGTGCTCAGTCAAAAATGAACGTTTGAGATGACTTGATCAACATTGGGCCAATCATAACCCCAATATTGGTGAAACAGTCGTTTATACAGCGTGGCATGGTCCGGAATAGTCTCCCAATGACAATTTGAGGGAGTCGTGTCTACTCCTTTTGCAGCACCTAACGTAGCAGGTTACCTTTGGCGTACGCGTCTCCTGCTCATGTCCTAGACATGATACGTTGGGCAAGGGTCAGGACACCCGGCTGGCCATTGCATTCGGGTGATGTTTTGCTACTGGAAGTAATCAGTCACGGTACGTGCGGGGTGAACACAAACATTATTGTCTTGAAAGACAAAACAAAGACCAGCCTTGCATGCAAACGTCACAACTATTGTACGCAGTATGTTGCCTCGGAAATATTGTCCACTGACCTATGAACAATATGCAATGGCGTTCTCTCAGCCATAGTGATACCACCCTACATACAGACCAAACCTAAATCTGTCATGTTGCCATACGTTGACTTTCGCGTGACGTTCCTATGGACGGTTTGAGAAATGTCCATGCCTATCCAGGAGTGAATCTGGACTCATCTGAAAACATTACACGAGACCATCGGCGATTCTCACAGAGTTTATGATCTAAACATCATTGTAGTGTAACGGAGTTCCTTCCATTTACCTTTTTCCTGACACATGTTGCCCGTCCAACCTGATTGGCAACCGCTTGGACACTGTCCAGTCTCTTGGTGACATGTGGTCCCTGTTTGACAATGTCCGCACGGCAAAGAGCATTCCTTGCCGTATGTTCCACGACACACTAATGAACATACAATAGGGATATGACTATGTGAAGGGATAAATATTCTTGGAATACTTACAATGTCGATATCATGTCGGATTGAAAGTATCTATTAATTTGCCCAACCTCAGCACTTTCAGTGCAGAGGTTCCCTCTATACTTACTAGTATCATGTTCCAAAATACGTAATATTTTATTCTAATTTTTTATGAATAATTTTGACTTTATAAAATAAATATAAAACAACATAATTTGTGTACATGACTCAATAATTAGTGTACCAAAAGTCTATCTTAGTCATGTTGATAGCGTTAAGCGTTAAGACTACATGCATGTTTCGTCCGAAGTCTAAAATCAGTTGGCATATACGTCCGCCTCCATTGTCAAGTTTTACTTGATAAGCGTAACGCGCTAGTCGTTAAGACGACCGGACATAGAAGTAACATTTCCGAGAATCCTTATGTAATGCTACAATAACAGGGTGTTTGGGCGGGGGAGCTTGCCTCTCACTCAACAGCTTGAATAAAATGATTTCGTAAATAAGTGTAAAATTTAATTACCAAAGAAGATACAAAATACGTGTTCGCTGAAATGTATCCCCGACGGATGTCACTGATCATGTTGTCGCAAGCCATTATGGAACGAGTACTTTTTCAAGAAAGTCTTGTCTCATGTAACAGTTGTTACTTTTTCGTTGTCGATGTCCAATTTTCGACGTATATGCATCGCTTTGTTATTCCAATTTAAGGTTTAATAATATTAAACCATACAAACGCAAGCGAGGTAATATTTTCTGCTTATGTTTAGCTTTATCGCCCTAATTTTCAATTGGTGATGCTGTCGCGAGGGGCTTTATTAGTAGCATCAAACAAACATGTATAAAACCGGTATAATGCATGTTGCCAATTCTTTTCTATGATAGATGCATTTGCAGTATTCTTGCAGCTGAAACTGGAGCAAACAACCAAGCAAGACATTAGTGCTCAGTCAAAAATGAACGTTTGAGATGACTTGATCAACATTGGGCCAATCATAACCCCAATATTGGTGAAACAGTCGTTTATACAGCGTGGCATGGTCCGGAATAGTCTCCCAATGACAATTTGAGGGAGTCGTGTCTACTCCTTTTGCAGCACCTAACGTAGCAGGTTACCTTTGGCGTACGCGTCTCCTGCTCATGTCCTAGACATGATACGTTGGGCAAGGGTCAGGACACCCGGCTGGCCATTGCATTCGGGTGATGTTTTGCTACTGGAAGTAATCAGTCACGGTACGTGCGGGGTGAACACAAACATTATTGTCTTGAAAGACAAAACAAAGACCAGCCTTGCACGCAAACGTCACAACTATTGTACGCAGTATGTTGCCTCGGAAATATTGTCCACTGACCTATGAACAATATGCAATGGCGTTCTCTCAGCCATAGTGATACCACCCTACATACAGACCAAACCTAAATCTGTCATGTTGCCATACGTTGACTTTCGCGTGACGTTCCTATGGACGGTTTGAGAAATGTCCATGCCTATCCAGGAGTGAATCTGGACTCATCTGAAAACATTACACGAGACCATCGGTGATTCTCACAGTTTCTATGTTCTAAACATCATTGTAGTGTAACGGAGTTCCTTCCATTTACCTTTTTCCTGACACATGTTGCCCGTCCAACCTGATTGGCAACCGCTTGGACACTGTCCAGTCTCTTGGTGACATGTGGTCCCTGTTTGACAATGTCCGCACGGCAAAGAGCATTCCTTGCCGTATGTTCCACGACACACTAATGAACATACAATAGGGATATGACTATGTGAAGGGATAAATATTCTTGGAATACTTACAATGTCGATATCATGTTGGATTGAAAGTATCTATTAATTTGCCCAACCTCAGCAATTTCAGTGCAGAGGTTCCCTCTATACTTACTAGTATCATAGTTCCAAAATACGTCATATTTTATTCTAATTTTTTATGAATAATTTTGACTTTATAAAATAAAAATAAAACAACATTACTTCTGTACATTACTCAATAATTAGTGTACTAAAAGTCTATCTCAGTCATGTTGATAGCGTTAAGCGTTAAGACTACATGCATGTTTCGTCCGAAGTCTAAAATCAGTTGGCATATACGTCCGCCTTCATTGCCAAGTTTTACTTGATAAGCGTAACGCGCTCATCGTTAAGACGACAAGTCCGGACATAGAAGTAACATTTCCGAGAAAACTTATGTAAGATTAGCAACATTGTGTAAGCATTGTGTAGCTACATTAAATAAGTTATAATTGAACATGCGACCATATTATGACATCTAAGAGCATCGGTGGTATAAAAAACGGCCTTTATTCGGGGTACCTCACTGATGAGATACACCGAATAAAGACTGACCACTAATTGATGCTTCTCTTGGTTGTTTTAACGTGTGTGGTCCCAGGCTTATTCCCCGAAAACAAATTTCAGGCATTATAATCAGCCAAGAACAAACATAAACGTTCAAAGGTTATTATACAGGTCATAAGGTTTAATGATTACCAGTGTAAAAGTACAAACGTAATAATAATAATAATAATAATCAGTGTTGATTTTGTTGATGGTTTTCTACTGCTGGACGGCACAGTAATGAGTAGCCTTGCTACAATAACAGGGTGTTTGGGCGGGGGAGCTTGCCTCTCACTCAACAGCTTGAATAAAATGATTTCGTAAATAAGTGTAAAATTTAATTACCAAAGAAGATACAAAACACGTGTTCGCTGAAATGTATCCCCGACGGATGTCACTGATCATGTTGTCACAAGCCATTATGGAACGAGTACTTTTTCAAGAAAGGGTTGTCTCATGTAACATTTGTTACTTTTTCGTTGTCGATGTCCAATTTTCGACGTATATGCATCGCTTTGTTATTCTAATTTAAGGTTTAATAATATTAAACCATACAAACACAAGCGAGGTAATTTTTTCTGCTTATGTTTAGCTTTATCGCCCTAATTTTCATTTAGTGATGCTGTTGCGAGGGGCTTTATTAGTAGCATCAAACAAACATGTATAAAACCGGTATAATGCATGTGTAACAATTCTTTTCTATGATAGATGCATCTGCAGTATTCTTGCAGCTGAAACTGGAGCAAACAACCAAGCAAGACATTAGTGCTCAGTCAAAAATGAACGTTTGAGATGACTTGATCAATATTGGGCCAATCATAACCCCAATATTGGTGAAACAGTCGTTTATACAGCGTGGCATGGTCCGGAATAGTCTCCCAATGACAATTTGAGGGAGTCATGTCTACTCCTTTTGCAGCACCTAACGTAGCAGGTTACCTTTGGCGTACGCGTCTCCTGCTCATGTCCTAGACATGATACGTTGGGCAAGGGTCAGGACACCCGGCTTGCCATTGCATTCGGGTGATGTTTTGCTACTGGAAGTAATCAGTCATGGTACGTGCGGGGTGAACACAAACATTATTGTCTTGAAAGACAAAACAAAGACCAGCCTTGCACGCAAACGTCACAACTATTGTACGCAGTATGTTGCCTCGGAAATATTGTCCACTGACCTATGAACAATATGCAATGGCGTTCTCTCAGCCATAGTGATACCACCCTACATACAGACCAAACCTAAATCTGTCATGTTGCCATACGTTGACTTTCGCGTGACGTTCCTATGGACGGTTTGAGAAATGTCCATGCCTATCCAGGAGTGAATCTGGACTCATCTGAAAACATTACACGAGACCATCGGTGATTCTCACAGTTTCTATGTTCTAAACATCATTGTAGTGTAACGGAGTTCCTTCCATTTACCTTTTTCCTGACACATGTTGCCCGTCCAACCTGATTGGCAACCGCTTGGACACTGTCCAGTCTCTTGGTGACATGTGGTCCCTGTTTGACAATGTCCGCACGGCAAAGAGCATTCCTTGCCGTATGTTCCACGACACACTAATGAACATACAATAGGGATATGACTATGTGAAGGGATAAATATTCTTGGAATACTTATAATGTCGATATCATGTTGGATTGAAAGTATCTATTAATTTGCCCAACCTCAGCAATTTCAGTGCAGAGGTTCCCTCTATACTTACTAGTATCATAGTTCCAAAATACGTCATATTTTATTCTAATTTTTTATGAATAATTTTGACTTTATAAAATAAAAATAAAACAACATTACTTCTGTACATTACTCAATAATTAGTGTACTAAAAGTCTATCTCAGTCATGTTGATAGCGTTAAGCGTTAAGACTACATGCATGTTTCGTCCGAAGTCTAAAATCAGTTGGCATATACGTCCGCCTTCATTGCCAAGTTTTACTTGATAAGCGTAACGCGCTCATCGTTAAGACGACAAGTCCGGACATAGAAGTAACATTTCCGAGAAAACTTATGTAAGATTAGCAACATTGTGTAAGCATTGTGTAGCTACATTAAATAAGTTATAATTGAACATGCGACCATATTATGACATCTAAGAGCATCGGTGGTATAAAAAACGGCCTTTATTCGGGGTACCTCACTGATGAGATACACCGAATAAAGACTGACCACTAATTGATGCTTCTCTTGGTTGTTTTAACGTGTGTGGTCCCAGGCTTATTCCCCGAAAACAAATTTCAGGCATTATAATCAGCCAAGAACAAACATAAACGTTCAAAGGTTATTATACAGGTCATAATGTTTAATGATTACCAGTGTAAAAGTACAAACGTAATAATAATAATAATAATAATCAGTGTTGATTTTGTTGATGGTTTTCTACTGCTGGACGGCACAGTAATGAGTAGCCTTGCTACAATAACAGGGTGTTTGGGCGGGGGAGCTTGCCTCTCACTCAACAGCTTGAATAAAATGATTTCGTAAATAAGTGTAAAATTTAATTACCAAAGAAGATACAAAATACGTGTTCGCTGAAATGTATCCCCGACGGATGTCACTGATCATGTTGTCACAAGCCATTATGGAACGAGTACTTTTTCAAGAAAGGGTTGTCTCATGTAACATTTGTTCCTTTTTCGTTGTCGATGTCCAATTTTCGACGTATATGCATCGCTTTGTTATTCCAATTTAAGGTTTAATAATATTAAACCATACAAACACAAGCGAGGTAATTTTTTCTGCTTATGTTTAGCTTTATCGCCCTAATTTTCATTTAGTGATGCTGTTGCGAGGGGCTTTATTAGTAGCATCAAACAAACATGTATAAAACCGGTATAATGCATGTGTACCAATTCTTTTCTATGATAGATGCATCTGCAGTATTCTTGCAGCTGAAACTGGAGCAAACAACCAAGCAAGACATTAGTGCTCAGTCAAAAATGAACGTTTGAGATGACTTGATCAATATTGGGCCAATCATAACCCCAATATTGGTGAAACAGTCGTTTATACAGCGTGGCATGGTCCGGAATAGTCTCCCAATGACAATTTGAGGGAGTCATGTCTACTCCTTTTGCAGCACCTAACGTAGCAGGTTACCTTTGGCGTACGCGTCTCCTGCTCATGTCCTAGACATGATACGTTGGGCAAGGGTCAGGACACCCGGCTTGCCATTGCATTCGGGTGATGTTTTGCTACTGGAAGTAATCAGTCACGGTACGTGCGGGGTGAACACAAACATTATTGTCTTGAAAGACAAAACAAAGACCAGCCTTGCACGCAAACGTCACAACTATTGTACGCAGTATGTTGCCTCGGAAATATTGTCCACTGACCTATGAACAATATGCAATGGCGTTCTCTCAGCCATAGTGATACCACCCTACATACAGACCAAACCTAAATCTGTCATGTTGCCATACGTTGACTTTCGCGTGACGTTCCTATGGACGGTTTGAGAAATGTCCATGCCTATCCAGGAGTGAATCTGGACTCATCTGAAAACATTACACGAGACCATCGGTGATTCTCACAGTTTCTATGTTCTAAACATCATTGTAGTGTAACGGAGTTCCTTCCATTTACCTTTTTCCTGACACATGTTGCCCGTCCAACCTGATTGGCAACCGCTTGGACACTGTCCAGTCTCTTGGTGACATGTGGTCCCTGTTTGACAATGTCCGCACGGCAAAGAGCATTCCTTGCCGTATGTTCCACGACACACTAATGAACATACAATAGGGATATGACTATGTGAAGGGATAAATATTCTTGGAATACTTACAATGTCGATATCATGTTGGATTGAAAGTATCTATTAATTTGCCCAACCTCAGCAATTTCAGTGCAGAGGTTCCCTCTATACTTACTAGTATCATAGTTCCAAAATACGTCATATTTTATTCTAATTTTTTATGAATAATTTTGACTTTATAAAATAAAAATAAAACAACATTACTTCTGTACATTACTCAATAATTAGTGTACTAAAAGTCTATCTCAGTCATGTTGATAGCGTTAAGCATTAAGACTACATGCATGTTTCGTCCGAAGTCTAAAATCAGTTGGCATATACGTCCGCCTTCATTGCCAAGTTTTACTTGATAAGCGTAACGCGCTCATCGTTAAGACGACAAGTCCGGACATAGAAGTAACATTTCCGAGAAAACTTATGTAAGATTAGCAACATTGTGTAAGCATTGTGTAGCTACATTAAATAAGTTATAATTGAACATGCGACCATATTATGACATCTAAGAGCATCGGTGGTATAAAAAACGGCCTTTATTCGGGGTACCTCACTGATGAGATACACCGAATAAAGACTGACCACTAATTGATGCTTCTCTTGGTTGTTTTAACGTGTGTGGTCCCAGGCTTATTCCCCGAAAACAAATTTCAGGCATTATAATCAGCCAAGAACAAACATAAACGTTCAAAGGTTATTATACAGGTCATAAGGTTTAATGATTACCAGTGTAAAAGTACAAACGTAATAATAATAATAATAATAATCAGTGTTGATTTTGTTGATGGTTTTCTACTGCTGGACGGCACAGTAATGAGTAGCCTTGCTACAATAACAGGGTGTTTGGGCGGGGGAGCTTGCCTCTCACTCAACAGCTTGAATAAAATGATTTCGTAAATAAGTGTAAAATTTAATTACCAAAGAAGATACAAAACACGTGTTCGCTGAAATGTATCCCCGACGGATGTCACTGATCATGTTGTCACAAGCCATTATGGAACGAGTACTTTTTCAAGAAAGGGTTGTCTCATGTAACATTTGTTACTTTTTCGTTGTCGATGTCCAATTTTCGACGTATATGCATCGCTTTGTTATTCTAATTTAAGGTTTAATAATATTAAACCATACAAACACAAGCGAGGTAATTTTTTCTGCTTATGTTTAGCTTTATCGCCCTAATTTTCATTTAGTGATGCTGTTGCGAGGGGCTTTATTAGTAGCATCAAACAAACATGTATAAAACCGGTATAATGCATGTGTAACAATTCTTTTCTATGATAGATGCATCTGCAGTATTCTTGCAGCTGAAACTGGAGCAAACAACCAAGCAAGACATTAGTGCTCAGTCAAAAATGAACGTTTGAGATGACTTGATCAATATTGGGCCAATCATAACCCCAATATTGGTGAAACAGTCGTTTATACAGCGTGGCATGGTCCGGAATAGTCTCCCAATGACAATTTGAGGGAGTCATGTCTACTCCTTTTGCAGCACCTAACGTAGCAGGTTACCTTTGGCGTACGCGTCTCCTGCTCATGTCCTAGACATGATACGTTGGGCAAGGGTCAGGACACCCGGCTTGCCATTGCATTCGGGTGATGTTTTGCTACTGGAAGTAATCAGTCATGGTACGTGCGGGGTGAACACAAACATTATTGTCTTGAAAGACAAAACAAAGACCAGCCTTGCACGCAAACGTCACAACTATTGTACGCAGTATGTTGCCTCGGAAATATTGTCCACTGACCTATGAACAATATGCAATGGCGTTCTCTCAGCCATAGTGATACCACCCTACATACAGACCAAACCTAAATCTGTCATGTTGCCATACGTTGACTTTCGCGTGACGTTCCTATGGACGGTTTGAGAAATGTCCATGCCTATCCAGGAGTGAATCTGGACTCATCTGAAAACATTACACGAGACCATCGGTGATTCTCACAGTTTCTATGTTCTAAACATCATTGTAGTGTAACGGAGTTCCTTCCATTTACCTTTTTCCTGACACATGTTGCCCGTCCAACCTGATTTGCAACCGCTTGGACACTGTCCAGTCTCTTGGTGACATGTGGTCCCTGTTTGACAATGTCCGCACGGCAAAGAGCATTCCTTGCCGTATGTTCCACGACACACTAATGAACATACAATAGGGATATGACTATGTGAAGGGATAAATATTCTTGGAATACTTACAATGTCGATATCATGTTGGATTGAAAGTATCTATTAATTTGCCCAACCTCAGCAATTTCAGTGCAGAGGTTCCCTCTATACTTACTAGTATCATAGTTCCAAAATACGTCATATTTTATTCTAATTTTTTATGAATAATTTTGACTTTATAAAATAAAAATAAAACAACATTACTTCTGTACATTACTCAATAATTAGTGTACTAAAAGTCTATCTCAGTCATGTTGATAGCGTTAAGCGTTAAGACTACATGCATGTTTCGTCCGAAGTCTAAAATCAGTTGGCATATACGTCCGCCTTCATTGCCAAGTTTTACTTGATAAGCGTAACGCGCTCATCGTTAAGACGACAAGTCCGGACATAGAAGTAACATTTCCGAGAAAACTTATGTAAGATTAGCAACATTGTGTAAGCATTGTGTAGCTACATTAAATAAGTTATAATTGAACATGCGACCATATTATGACATCTAAGAGCATCGGTGGTATAAAAAACGGCCTTTATTCGGGGTACCTCACTGATGAGATACACCGAATAAAGACTGACCACTAATTGATGCTTCTCTTGGTTGTTTTAACGTGTGTGGTCCCAGGCTTATTCCCCGAAAACAAATTTCAGGCATTATAATCAGCCAAGAACAAACATAAACGTTCAAAGGTTATTATACAGGTCATAAGGTTTAATGATTACCAGTGTAAAAGTACAAACGTAATAATAATAATAATAATAATCAGTGTTGATTTTGTTGATGGTTTTCTACTGCTGGACGGCACAGTAATGAGTAGCCTTGCTACAATAACAGGGTGTTTGGGCGGGGGAGCTTGCCTCTCACTCAACAGCTTGAATAAAATGATTTCGTAAATAAGTGTAAAATTTAATTACCAAAGAAGATACAAAACACGTGTTCGCTGAAATGTATCCCCGACGGATGTCACTGATCATGTTGTCACAAGCCATTATGGAACGAGTACTTTTTCAAGAAAGGGTTGTCTCATGTAACATTTGTTACTTTTTCGTTGTCGATGTCCAATTTTCGACGTATATGCATCGCTTTGTTATTCTAATTTAAGGTTTAATAATATTAAACCATACAAACACAAGCGAGGTAATTTTTTCTGCTTATGTTTAGCTTTATCGCCCTAATTTTCATTTAGTGATGCTGTTGCGAGGGGCTTTATTAGTAGCATCAAACAAACATGTATAAAACCGGTATAATGCATGTGTAACAATTCTTTTCTATGATAGATGCATCTGCAGTATTCTTGCAGCTGAAACTGGAGCAAACAACCAAGCAAGACATTAGTGCTCAGTCAAAAATGAACGTTTGAGATGACTTGATCAATATTGGGCCAATCATAACCCCAATATTGGTGAAACAGTCGTTTATACAGCGTGGCATGGTCCGGAATAGTCTCCCAATGACAATTTGAGGGAGTCATGTCTACTCCTTTTGCAGCACCTAACGTAGCAGGTTACCTTTGGCGTACGCGTCTCCTGCTCATGTCCTAGACATGATACGTTGGGCAAGGGTCAGGACACCCGGCTTGCCATTGCATTCGGGTGATGTTTTGCTACTGGAAGTAATCAGTCATGGTACGTGCGGGGTGAACACAAACATTATTGTCTTGAAAGACAAAACAAAGACCAGCCTTGCACGCAAACGTCACAACTATTGTACGCAGTATGTTGCCTCGGAAATATTGTCCACTGACCTATGAACAATATGCAATGGCGTTCTCTCAGCCATAGTGATACCACCCTACATACAGACCAAACCTAAATCTGTCATGTTGCCATACGTTGACTTTCGCGTGACGTTCCTATGGACGGTTTGAGAAATGTCCATGCCTATCCAGGAGTGAATCTGGACTCATCTGAAAACATTACACGAGACCATCGGTGATTCTCACAGTTTCTATGTTCTAAACATCATTGTAGTGTAACGGAGTTCCTTCCATTTACCTTTTTCCTGACACATGTTGCCCGTCCAACCTGATTGGCAACCGCTTGGACACTGTCCAGTCTCTTGGTGACATGTGGTCCCTGTTTGACAATGTCCGCACGGCAAAGAGCATTCCTTGCCGTATGTTCCACGACACACTAATGAACATACAATAGGGATATGACTATGTGAAGGGATAAATATTCTTGGAATACTTACAATGTCGATATCATGTTGGATTGAAAGTATCTATTAATTTGCCCAACCTCAGCAATTTCAGTGCAGAGGTTCCCTCTATACTTACTAGTATCATAGTTCCAAAATACGTCATATTTTATTCTAATTTTTTATGAATAATTTTGACTTTATAAAATAAAAATAAAACAACATTACTTCTGTACATTACTCAATAATTAGTGTACTAAAAGTCTATCTCAGTCATGTTGATAGCGTTAAGCGTTAAGACTACATGCATGTTTCGTCCGAAGTCTAAAATCAGTTGGCATATACGTCCGCCTTCATTGCCAAGTTTTACTTGATAAGCGTAACGCGCTCATCGTTAAGACGACAAGTCCGGACATAGAAGTAACATTTCCGAGAAAACTTATGTAAGATTAGCAACATTGTGTAAGCATTGTGTAGCTACATTAAATAAGTTATAATTGAACATGCGACCATATTATGACATCTAAGAGCATCGGTGGTATAAAAAACGGCCTTTATTCGGGGTACCTCACTGATGAGATACACCGAATAAAGACTGACCACTAATTGATGCTTCTCTTGGTTGTTTTAACGTGTGTGGTCCCAGGCTTATTCCCCGAAAACAAATTTCAGGCATTATAATCAGCCAAGAACAAACATAAACGTTCAAAGGTTATTATACAGGTCATAAGGTTTAATGATTACCAGTGTAAAAGTACAAACGTAATAATAATAATAATAATAATCAGTGTTGATTTTGTTGATGGTTTTCTACTGCTGGACGGCACAGTAATGAGTAGCCTTGCTACAATAACAGGGTGTTTGGGCGGGGGAGCTTGCCTCTCACTCAACAGCTTGAATAAAATGATTTCGTAAATAAGTGTAAAATTTAATTACCAAAGAAGATACAAAATACGTGTTCGCTGAAATGTATCCCCGACGGATGTCACTGATCATGTTGTCACAAGCCATTATGGAACGAGTACTTTTTCAAGAAAGGGTTGTCTCATGTAACATTTGTTACTTTTTCGTTGTCGATGTCCAATTTTCGACGTATATGCATCGCTTTGTTATTCCAATTTAAGGTTTAATAATATTAAACCATACAAACACAAGCGAGGTAATTTTTTCTGCTTATGTTTAGCTTTATCGCCCTAATTTTCATTTAGTGATGCTGTTGCGAGGGGCTTTATTAGTAGCATCAAACAAACATGTATAAAACCGGTATAATGCATGTGTACCAATTCTTTTCTATGATAGATGCATCTGCAGTATTCTTGCAGCTGAAACTGGAGCAAACAACCAAGCAAGACATTAGTGCTCAGTCAAAAATGAACGTTTGAGATGACTTGATCAATATTGGGCCAATCATAACCCCAATATTGGTGAAACAGTCGTTTATACAGCGTGGCATGGTCCGGAATAGTCTCCCAATGACAATTTGAGGGAGTCATGTCTACTCCTTTTGCAGCACCTAACGTAGCAGGTTACCTTTGGCGTACGCGTCTCCTGCTCATGTCCTAGACATGATACGTTGGGCAAGGGTCAGGACACCCGGCTTGCCATTGCATTCGGGTGATGTTTTGCTACTGGAAGTAATCAGTCACGGTACGTGCGGGGTGAACACAAACATTATTGTCTTGAAAGACAAAACAAAGACCAGCCTTGCATGCAAACGTCACAACTATTGTACGCAGTATGTTGCCTCGGAAATATTGTCCACTGACCTATGAACAATATGCAATGGCGTTCTCTCAGCCATAGTGATACCACCCTACATACAGACCAAACCTAAATCTGTCATGTTGCCATACGTTGACTTTCGCGTGACGTTCCTATGGACGGTTTGAGAAATGTCCATGCCTATCCAGGAGTGAATCTGGACTCATCTGAAAACATTACACGAGACCATCGGTGATTCTCACAGTTTCTATGTTCTAAACATCATTGTAGTGTAACGGAGTTCCTTCCATTTACCTTTTTCCTGACACATGTTGCCCGTCCAACCTGATTGGCAACCGCTTGGACACTGTCCAGTCTCTTGGTGACATGTGGTCCCTGTTTGACAATGTCCGCACGGCAAAGAGCATTCCTTGCCGTATGTTCCACGACACACTAATGAACATACAATAGGGATATGACTATGTGAAGGGATAAATATTCTTGGAATACTTACAATGTCGATATCATGTTGGATTGAAAGTATCTATTAATTTGCCCAACCTCAGCAATTTCAGTGCAGAGGTTCCCTCTATACTTACTAGTATCATAGTTCCAAAATACGTCATATTTTATTCTAATTTTTTATGAATAATTTTGACTTTATAAAATAAAAATAAAACAACATTACTTCTGTACATTACTCAATAATTAGTGTACTAAAAGTCTATCTCAGTCATGTTGATAGCGTTAAGCGTTAAGACTACATGCATGTTTCGTCCGAAGTCTAAAATCAGTTGGCATATACGTCCGCCTTCATTGCCAAGTTTTACTTGATAAGCGTAACGCGCTCATCGTTAAGACGACAAGTCCGGACATAGAAGTAACATTTCCGAGAAAACTTATGTAAGATTAGCAACATTGTGTAAGCATTGTGTAGCTACATTAAATAAGTTATAATTGAACATGCGACCATATTATGACATCTAAGAGCATCGGTGGTATAAAAAACGGCCTTTATTCGGGGTACCTCACTGATGAGATACACCGAATAAAGACTGACCACTAATTGATGCTTCTCTTGGTTGTTTTAACGTGTGTGGTCCCAGGCTTATTCCCCGAAAACAAATTTCAGGCATTATAATCAGCCAAGAACAAACATAAACGTTCAAAGGTTATTATACAGGTCATAAGGTTTAATGATTACCAGTGTAAAAGTACAAACGTAATAATAATAATAATAATAATCAGTGTTGATTTTGTTGATGGTTTTCTACTGCTGGACGGCACAGTAATGAGTAGCCTTGCTACAATAACAGGGTGTTTGGGCGGGGGAGCTTGCCTCTCACTCAACAGCTTGAATAAAATGATTTCGTAAATAAGTGTAAAATTTAATTACCAAAGAAGATACAAAATACGTGTTCGCTGAAATGTATCCCCGACGGATGTCACTGATCATGTTGTCACAAGCCATTATGGAACGAGTACTTTTTCAAGAAAGGGTTGTCTCATGTAACATTTGTTACTTTTTCGTTGTCGATGTCCAATTTTCGACGTATATGCATCGCTTTGTTATTCAAATTTAAGGTTTAATAATATTAAACCATACAAACACAAGCGAGGTAATTTTTTCTGCTTATGTTTAGCTTTATCGCCCTAATTTTCATTTAGTGATGCTGTTGCGAGGGGCTTTATTAGTAGCATCAAACAAACATGTATAAAACCGGTATAATGCATGTGTACCAATTCTTTTCTATGATAGATGCATCTGCAGTATTCTTGCAGCTGAAACTGGAGCAAACAACCAAGCAAGACATTAGTGCTCAGTCAAAAATGAACGTTTGAGATGACTTGATCAATATTGGGCCAATCATAACCCCAATATTGGTGAAACAGTCGTTTATACAGCGTGGCATGGTCCGGAATAGTCTCCCAATGACAATTTGAGGGAGTCATGTCTACTCCTTTTGCAGCACCTAACGTAGCAGGTTACCTTTGGCGTACGCGTCTCCTGCTCATGTCCTAGACATGATACGTTGGGCAAGGGTCAGGACACCCGGCTTGCCATTGCATTCGGGTGATGTTTTGCTACTGGAAGTAATCAGTCACGGTACGTGCGGGGTGAACACAAACATTATTGTCTTGAAAGACAAAACAAAGACCAGCCTTGCATGCAAACGTCACAACTATTGTACGCAGTATGTTGCCTCGGAAATATTGTCCACTGACCTATGAACAATATGCAATGGCGTTCTCTCAGCCATAGTGATACCACCCTACATACAGACCAAACCTAAATCTGTCATGTTGCCATACGTTGACTTTCGCGTGACGTTCCTATGGACGGTTTGAGAAATGTCCATGCCTATCCAGGAGTGAATCTGGACTCATCTGAAAACATTACACGAGACCATCGGTGATTCTCACAGTTTCTATGTTCTAAACATCATTGTAGTGTAACGGAGTTCCTTCCATTTACCTTTTTCCTGACACATGTTGCCCGTCCAACCTGATTGGCAACCGCTTGGACACTGTCCAGTCTCTTGGTGACATGTGGTCCCTGTTTGACAATGTCCGCACGGCAAAGAGCATTCCTTGCCGTATGTTCCACGACACACTAATGAACATACAATAGGGATATGACTATGTGAAGGGATAAATATTCTTGGAATACTTACAATGTCGATATCATGTTGGATTGAAAGTATCTATTAATTTGCCCAACCTCAGCAATTTCAGTGCAGAGGTTCCCTCTATACTTACTAGTATCATAGTTCCAAAATACGTCATATTTTATTCTAATTTTTTATGAATAATTTTGACTTTATAAAATAAAAATAAAACAACATTACTTCTGTACATTACTCAATAATTAGTGTACTAAAAGTCTATCTCAGTCATGTTGATAGCGTTAAGCGTTAAGACTACATGCATGTTTCGTCCGAAGTCTAAAATCAGTTGGCATATATGTCCGCCTTCATTGCCAAGTTTTACTTGATAAGCGTGACGCGCTCATCGTTAAGACGACAAGTCCGGACATAGAAGTAACATTTCCGAGAAAACTTATGTAAGATTAGCAACATTGTGTAAGCATTGTGTAGCTACATTAAATAAGTTATAATTGAACATGCGACCATATTATGACATCTAAGAGCATCGGTGGTATAAAAAACGGCCTTTATTCGGGGTACCTCACTGATGAGATACACCGAATAAAGACTGACCACTAATTGATGCTTCTCTTGGTTGTTTTAACGTGTGTGGTCCCAGGCTTATTCCCCGAAAACAAATTTCAGGCATTATAATCAGCCAAGAACAAACATAAACGTTCAAAGGTTATTATACAGGTCATAAGGTTTAATGATTACCAGTGTAAAAGTACAAACGTAATAATAATAATAATAATAATCAGTGTTGATTTTGTTGATGGTTTTCTACTGCTGGACGGCACAGTAATGAGTAGCCTTGCTACAATAACAGGGTGTTTGGGCGGGGGAGCTTGCCTCTCACTCAACAGCTTGAATAAAATGATTTCGTAAATAAGTGTAAAATTTAATTACCAAAGAAGATACAAAATACGTGTTCGCTGAAATGTATCCCCGACGGATGTCACTGATCATGTTGTCACAAGCCATTATGGAACGAGTACTTTTTCAAGAAAGGGTTGTCTCATGTAACATTTGTTACTTTTTCGTTGTCGATGTCCAATTTTCGACGTATATGCATCGCTTTGTTATTCTAATTTAAGGTTTAATAATATTAAACCATACAAACACAAGCGAGGTAATTTTTTCTGCTTATGTTTAGCTTTATCGCCCTAATTTTCATTTAGTGATGCTGTTGCGAGGGGCTTTATTAGTAGCATCAAACAAACATGTATAAAACCGGTATAATGCATGTGTACCAATTCTTTTCTATGATAGATGCATCTGCAGTATTCTTGCAGCTGAAACTGGAGCAAACAACCAAGCAAGACATTAGTGCTCAGTCAAAAATGAACGTTTGAGATGACTTGATCAATACTGGGCCAATCATAACCCCAATATTGGTGAAACAGTCGTTTATACAGCGTGGCATGGTCCGGAATAGTCTCCCAATGACAATTTGAGGGAGTCGTGTCTACTCCTTTTGCAGCACCTAACGTAGCAGGTTACCTTTGGCGTACGCGTCTCCTGCTCATGTCCTAGACATGATACGTTGGGCAAGGGTCAGGACACCCGGCTGGCCATTGCATTCGGGTGATGTTTTGCTACTGGAAGTAATCAGTCACGGTACGTGCGGGGTGAACACAAACATTATTGTCTTGAAAGACAAAACAAAGACCAGCCTTGCACGCAAACGTCACAACTATTGTACGCAGTATGTTGCCTCGGAAATATTGTCCACTGACCTATGAACAATATGCAATGGCGTTCTCTCAGCCATAGTGATACCACCCTACATACAGACCAAACCTAAATCTGTCATGTTGCCATACGTTGACTTTCGCGTGACGTTCCTATGGACGGTTTGAGAAATGTCCATGCCTATCCAGGAGTGAATCTGGACTCATCTGAAAACATTACACGAGACCATCGGTGATTCTCACAGTTTCTATGTTCTAAACATCATTGTAGTGTAACGGAGTTCCTTCCATTTACCTTTTTCCTGACACATGTTGCCCGTCCAACCTGATTGGCAACCGCTTGGACACTGTCCAGTCTCTTGGTGACATGTGGTCCCTGTTTGACAATGTCCGCACGGCAAAGAGCATTCCTTGCCGTATGTTCCACGACACACTAATGAACATACAATAGGGATATGACTATGTGAAGGGATAAATATTCTTGGAATACTTACAATGTCGATATCATGTTGGATTGAAAGTATCTATTAATTTGCCCAACCTCAGCAATTTCAGTGCAGAGGTTCCCTCTATACTTACTAGTATCATAGTTCCAAAATACGTCATATTTTATTCTAATTTTTTATGAATAATTTTGACTTTATAAAATAAAAATAAAACAACATTACTTCTGTACATTACTCAATAATTAGTGTACTAAAAGTCTATCTCAGTCATGTTGATAGCGTTAAGCATTAAGACTACATGCATGTTTCGTCCGAAGTCTAAAATCAGTTGGCATATACGTCCGCCTTCATTGCCAAGTTTTACTTGATAAGCGTAACGCGCTCATCGTTAAGACGACAAGTCCGGACATAGAAGTAACATTTCCGAGAAAACTTATGTAAGATTAGCAACATTGTGTAAGCATTGTGTAGCTACATTAAATAAGTTATAATTGAACATGCGACCATATTATGACATCTAAGAGCATCGGTGGTATAAAAAACGGCCTTTATTCGGGGTACCTCACTGATGAGATACACCGAATAAAGACTGACCACTAATTGATGCTTCTCTTGGTTGTTTTAACGTGTGTGGTCCCAGGCTTATTCCCCGAAAACAAATTTCAGGCATTATAATCAGCCAAGAACAAACATAAACGTTCAAAGGTTATTATACAGGTCATAAGGTTTAATGATTACCAGTGTAAAAGTACAAACGTAATAATAATAATAATAATAATCAGTGTTGATTTTGTTGATGGTTTTCTACTGCTGGACGGCACAGTAATGAGTAGCCTTGCTACAATAACAGGGTGTTTGGGCGGGGGAGCTTGCCTCTCACTCAACAGCTTGAATAAAATGATTTCGTAAATAAGTGTAAAATTTAATTACCAAAGAAGATACAAAATACGTGTTCGCTGAAATGTATCCCCGACGGATGTCACTGATCATGTTGTCACAAGCCATTATGGAACGTGTACTTTTTCAAGAAAGGGTTGTCTCATGTAACATTTGTTACTTTTTCGTTGTCGATGTCCAATTTTCGACGTATATGCATCGCTTTGTTATTCTAATTTAAGGTTTAATAATATTAAACCATACAAACACAAGCGAGGTAATTTTTTCTGCTTATGTTTAGCTTTATCGCCCTAATTTTCATTTAGTGATGCTGTTGCGAGGGGCTTTATTAGTAGCATCAAACAAACATGTATAAAACCGGTATAATGCATGTGTACCAATTCTTTTCTATGATAGATGCATCTGCAGTATTCTTGCAGCTGAAACTGGAGCAAACAACCAAGCAAGACATTAGTGCTCAGTCAAAAATGAACGTTTGAGATGACTTGATCAATATTGGGCCAATCATAACCCCAATATTGGTGAAACAGTCGTTTATACAGCGTGGCATGGTCCGGAATAGTCTCCCAATGACAATTTGAGGGAGTCATGTCTACTCCTTTTGCAGCACCTAACGTAGCAGGTTACCTTTGGCGTACGCGTCTCCTGCTCATGTCCTAGACATGATACGTTGGGCAAGGGTCAGGACACCCGGCTTGCCATTGCATTCGGGTGATGTTTTGCTACTGGAAGTAATCAGTCACGGTACGTGCGGGGTGAACACAAACATTATTGTCTTGAAAGACAAAACAAAGACCAGCCTTGCATGCAAACGTCACAACTATTGTACGCAGTATGTTGCCTCGGAAATATTGTCCACTGACCTATGAACAATATGCAATGGCGTTCTCTCAGCCATAGTGATACCACCCTACATACAGACCAAACCTAAATCTGTCATGTTGCCATACGTTGACTTTCGCGTGACGTTCCTATGGACGGTTTGAGAAATGTCCATGCCTATCCAGGAGTGAATCTGGACTCATCTGAAAACATTACACGAGACCATCGGTGATTCTCACAGTTTCTATGTTCTAAACATCATTGTAGTGTAACGGAGTTCCTTCCATTTACCTTTTTCCTGACACATGTTGCCCGTCCAACCTGATTGGCAACCGCTTGGACACTGTCCAGTCTCTTGGTGACATGTGGTCCCTGTTTGACAATGTCCGCACGGCAAAGAGCATTCCTTGCCGTATGTTCCACGACACACTAATGAACATACAATAGGGATATGACTATGTGAAGGGATAAATATTCTTGGAATACTTACAATGTCGATATCATGTTGGATTGAAAGTATCTATTAATTTGCCCAACCTCAGCACTTTCAGTGCAGAGGTTCCCTCTATACTTACTAGTATCATAGTTCCAAAATACGTCATATCTTATTCTAATTTTTTATGAATAATTTTGACTTTATAAAATAAAAATAAAACAACATTACTTCTGTACATTACTCAATAATTAGTGTACTAAAAGTCTATCTCAGTCATGTTGATAGCGTTAAGCGTTAAGACTACATGCATGTTTCGTCCGAAGTCTAAAATCAGTTGGCATATACGTCCGCCTTCATTGCCAAGTTTTACTTGATAAGCGTAACGCGCTAATCGTTAAGACGACAAGTCCGGACATAGAAGTAACATTTCCGAGAAAACTTATGTAAGATTAGCAACATTGTGTAAGCATTGTGTAGCTACATTAAATAAGTTATAATTGAACATGCGACCATATTATGACATCTAAGAGCATCGGTGGTATAAAAAACGGCCTTTATTCGGGGTACCTCACTGATGAGATACACCGAATAAAGACTGACCACTAATTGATGCTTCTCTTGGTTGTTTTAACGTGTGTGGTCCCAGGCTTATTCCCCGAAAACAAATTTCAGGCATTATAATCAGCCAAGAACAAACATAAACGTTCAAAGGTTATTATACAGGTCATAAGGTTTATTGATTACCAGTGTAAAAGTACAAACGTAATAATAATAATAATAATAATCAGTGTTGATTTTGTTGATGGTTTTCTACTGCTGGACGGCACAGTAATGAGTAGCCTTGCTACAATAACAGGGTGTTTGGGCGGGGGAGCTTGCCTCTCACTCAACAGCTTGAATAAAATGATTTCGTAAATAAGTGTAAAATTTAATTACCAAAGAAGATACAAAATACGTGTTCGCTGAAATGTATCCCCGACGGATGTCACTGATCATGTTGTCACAAGCCATTATGGAACGAGTACTTTTTCAAGAAAGTCTTGTCTCATGTAACATTTGTTACTTTTTCGTTGTCGATGTCCAATTTTCGACGTATATGCATCGCTTTGTTATTCCAATTTAAGGTTTAATAATATTAAACCATACAAACACAAGCGAGGTAATTTTTTCTGCTTATGTTTAGCTTTATCGCCCTAACTTTCAGTTAGTGATGCTGTCGCGAGGGGCTTTATTAGTAGCATCAAACAAACATGTATAAAACCGGTATAATGCATGTGTACCAATTCTTTTCTATGATAGATGCATCTGCAGTATTCTTGCAGCTGAAACTGGAGCAAACAACCAAGCAAGACATTAGTGCTCAGTCAAAAATGAACGTTTGAGATGACTTGATCAACATTGGGCCAATCATAACCCCAATATTGGTGAAACAGTCGTTTATACAGCGTGGCATGGTCCGGAATAGTCTCCCAATGACAATTTGAGGGAGTCGTGTCTACTCCTTTTGCAGCACCTAACGTAGCAGGTTACCTTTGGCGTACGCGTCTCCTGCTCATGTCCTAGACATGATACGTTGGGCAAGGGTCAGGACTCCCGGCTGGCCATTGCATTCGGGTGATGTTTTGCTACTGGAAGTAATCAGTCACGGTACGTGCGGGGTGAACACAAACATTATTGTCTTGAAAGACAAAACAAAGACCAGCCTTGCATGCAAACGTCACAACTATTGTACGCAGTATGTTGCCTCGGAAATATTGTCCACTGACCTATGAACAATATGCAGTGGCGTTCTCTCAGCCATAGTGATTCGGCCCTACATACAGATCAAACCTAAATCTGTCATGTTGCCATACGTTGACTTTCGCGTGACGTTCCTATGGACGGTTTGAGAAATGTCCATGCCTATCCAGGAGTGAATCTGGACTCATCTGAAAACATTACACGAGACCATCGGCGATTCTCACAGTTTCTATGTTCTAAACATCATTGTAGTGTAACGGAGTTCCTTCCATTTACCTTTTTCCTGACACATGTTGCCCGTCCAACCTGATTGGCAACCGCTTGGACACTGTCCAGTCTCGTGGTGACATGTGGTCCCTGTTTGACAATGTCCGCACGGCGAAGAGCATCCCTTGCCGTATGTTCCAAGACACGCTAATGAACATACATCAGGGATATTATTATGTGAAGGGATAAATATTCTTGGAATACTAACAATGTCGATATCATGTTGGATTGAAAGTATCTATTAATTTGCCCAACTTCATCACTGTCAGTGCAGAGGTTTCTTCTATACATACTAGTATCATAATTCCAAAATACATCATATTATATTCTATTTTTTTATGAATAATTTTGACTTTATAAAATAAAAATAAAACAACAGTTTTGGGTGGGTGCGAAAAAACCCATTCGCTGTCTGGGCTGCGTGTAGAGGGGCTAGGAGCCTGAGCTGATGATGAATCTAACAAGCCTAACTGTGCCAGGATCACCCAAAGTAGTGCCTTTAGTATTTTTCCCTTTTGTTCTTCAGCAGGGAGGTTCCATAGTACAGTAGTCACAATAATAAACACATATCTCTGGCACATAACAACTTCGCCCTGTTTAAGTCTGTTGAGGAGCTTTGTATTTACCTTGAGTGCAGAAGTTTCCCTTGTACCCTGCAACACACCCACCCAGGCAGGACCCCGTGGTCTTCTCGCACAGAAACACGCCACCGGCACATCGGCCACACACACTAGTACACCCAGCGCCGTATCGTCCGTCAGCACACCCTGGAAAGAAAATTGAGTAATTAGGAGACAGACCCACTGTGATTTGTATTTTGAGCTAGGTCATCATTGTTTAAACACCACCAACAGAGCAGAGAAACATAGTAAGATGGGACAGGTTATTTTAAATAGTTGAAGCGAAAATGGTGGCAAAGCAGAATTAGAAGGTTCAATTAATTCTTTCACATGTTTATTCACCTTGACAAATGAAATTGGAAACATCATAAGACAGGACAACTTTGTTCAGTAAAAAAGAGGTTGTGGGAGTATCAAAGGCAGGAAATGACCACATTGACAGGAGCAGTAAACAGACTTCTTTATTGAATGTAGCTTGGTGTAAAAACGGTACCCTAGACATTCTTTGCCTTCTTGGGTGATACCAAGTTAGCTACTGCACAGCATCTGTGCATCAGGTCGGTAGTTCGATCACCTAGCTAAATAGACTAAAATAGACTAAAAGATGGTACGGTACTTGTTGTTACCCTGCCTGGAACTCAGCATTAAGGGGAAATATGCATGTTAAACTGCGGCATGATATCTCAGTGGGCTAGCACTATAAAACTGGAATAAGTCCAGGCTAGTACGGGCAACCACACACCCGTCACGTCGTAATATAAATGCAATTATCGTAAACGTGACGTGTATCTGAATTTCACCTCAGCTCACTTTACAGAAATGTATTTTTTAAAAGTAAAAATATCATTAATACTTATCCTGGCTCACAATAATTGGATATCTATCTCTTTTCCGAAAAGAAAGTGGAAACGTCGTGAACTGTATGATCAGAGAATAGAAAAACAGCTCGCCCGAATGCAACCTTTGAGCCGCGCACCGGAAACACGTGACCAAGCAGGTATATTCGTCACTCTTGCATTCTCTTAGCTTAAGGCCGAAACACAGAGGAAGAGGGGACGGCTGGGTGGGCTTTATAGCGAATGAGTCAGGATAAGTATATATCTAACAGACACATATTTTGCCTTATCCTGACTCATACTTATTGCTTGAATCCCACGGTAGGTGGTGGGTTCTGCCTGTGTGTGTGATTCATATCAAGATTTCTTCAATTAACCCCTTTGGAATGAGATAATCTTCTGACTTCTTTATTTCCATGCGGGATACCACCTCCTTCTTGTGAAAGAGAGGAGAAAATAATTTTTCTCGCTTACTTTATACATTTAAGAGGTCATAAACTCAACACAAACGTTTTCACTCATGTTCTAACTTGCATGGACTCTCAGTCATTGGTTATGGGACAGTAACCAGACGTCAGCAAGTCTGCATGATAGTGGGTGAGTACTCGTAGGAAGGTCTATCTTCTAGTAGGCACTGTCAGTTGTTGTGTAACTACATATGGTCCAGCAACATCTTGTGTGGAGAAATCTCTGAGATAATGATAAGCAAAGACAGTGTCTGATCTCCAAAAACAACCTTCCATAATCCTCGAGATGGAGCGGTTGACGTGAAGCTCTCAGGTAGACGCTATGGCTCTCACGTTGTGCGGGTGGGATGCTGATGGTGGATTCAATCCTGCTGATTGTTCTGGAGGCTTCTGCTAAACTATTCCTGCATAACGGATGAAGTCTTATCAGCATTAAACTCTGCAGGTAGATATTTAATGCTCGATTCTTGCACGGAACAAATTGATCACATGTATTTCTGATATCTTGGCTGCTGTGGCTAGAGCCAGTAGAAATAACGTCTTCTGAGTCAGGTGTTTAAAATTAGCTTGTTGTAGAGGTTCATAAGCATTACTGGTAAGATGGTTAAACATCATATTCAAATCCCAGGCCAGGGCTCTGCATTTCTTTTGATGACTTTTAAACCTGTCTGATCTTACTAACGCTATCAATTCTGAAACCTTCATGAGCCTGATTTCGTTACCCATGGTTATTATGGAGCTGATAGCTGCTAGGTAGGTGCCTAAATTTGAACTCTTGAGATTCCTTATATATCTGAGGTGACACGAATTCTGCACTTAGTGGTGGAGTGGCTTTAACTGCTGTAAATCCCTTGGATCCCGTAAAAAGGTCACACCTCTTCCACTTATGGTCATATAGACTTCTAGTAGATCTGCAGAGCGCTAAGGATACTGCCTTGGCTGCTCTGGTTTGATGAGGTTTAACGTAATATATTCCATGCAGGAACTCCGTAGACATCTGGTCTTTGATTTACTTGCTTGGTGTGAGGATGTTTCAGAAGGTGTGGCCAGTTTGGTAGCTTCAGGGTTGGTTTCTCTGCCAATGCAATGAGCTTGGGAAACCAGGTTCTTGCCAGCAAATGAGGCGCAACCAAAAGCAGTAGTACATACTTCATGCACAATGATCTTCCGTACTATCAGATGTATCGCTGCTGTTGATGGGAACGCATGCTATCTGTCTGTTGAATCTGGTTGCAAACATATCTACTGATTTGTTGACGTGGAGATTGCTTTCGTCTGTGGACCAACGCCCCGTCCAATTAAGATCTAATAAGTGCACTAGCCAAAGCCGATTGTCGAGACACCGACGTAACGGAAGTTGTAAGTATTATATAACTGAAGCTGCATCTGGTAAATTGAGGAAGAATATATTCGGTATGAATGATCATATGAAGAATGATGATCAATACCGTGTATGGCAGTTTTACCTGAAAACTGCCTTGAAAAACGTAGAGATCATTGAGAATTTATGCGGAATCAATGTGTATATTTTCACAAATTCCCGATCATCAAATGTGAGGGATGACTTGTCTTTCCGGGTTGATCGTTGCAATGCTTCTTGTGAAGAGACGGTGGATTGCCTGTGTGTCCTGTAGGCGCTCGCATTCTTGTATCAAGGCGACGATGAAGAGTGGTGCCTCTATGTGAATTATTCCGCGTGTTGTCATCAGAGGTCTCCTGAAGATAGTTAAATAGTGCCAGGCGTCTGATGGTGCGGTTGCAGCATGACGTAAAAGTAATCATGCAAAACAATCTGTAAAATTGCACTGCATGGTTTGACCTAATTTACAGTCAGTGAAATCTTGACACGTGACAAGTAAATCATTCTGCGCAGGAAACGGGAATACTGCATTCTAGCAGAGGACAAAGTCCAAGCTCCAAACACTGACAATCCAGTGTGAACTGTTTGGTAGAAGGACAATGTGGTGTCGCGAGTGGTGTATATGCAGTCAGTTCCCTGTAGAATGTATAACGTGTGTGGCGTCGTAGCAAGTCTTTTACACGTGCATGATGCATGTAGATGACTGGAAATGGTATGCCCATCACACTGGTGACATGGAAGCAATGATTTGACTGCAGGGTTTGGATCCGTATTGAGAATTATGAAGGCAGTGAATGATGATGCCGGAACCTGGATACCATGCCGATTCTGTCGAATGCATAATCGATCGTAGACAGATTGGTACTAAGGCTTGAATATCAGACTGAGACCGTGGGTGATATGAGAGATTCCTTCGGACGAATGCGTGGAGGAGGTAGATTGCACGTAGGATATGTTCAAAGGTTGAAACTGTTCAAAGGCGTAACTAGCAACCAGGTCAGTGTGTGATGGCGACGCAGGTATATAACTCTTGGAAAAAGGTGACATGTTGTGCTTACGTTGAAGTTTGCGCGAAAGTCGGAGGCTGCACGAAGGTCCGAGTCTGCGTGAGGGTCTATGGCTGCATGAAGACCGGAAAGTGCGTGAAGAAGGAACCTGCATACCTGCGGGAAGGTCTGTGGTTGCATGAAGGCCAGAACCTTCGTGAACGTCTATGGCTGCATGAAGGCCAATGGCTGTGTGAAGCCAGAACCTGCGTGAATGTCTACGGCTGCATGATATGAACCTGCGTGAAGGTCTGGGGTTGCATGAAGGACTGGTCCTGTGTGAAGGCCTGTGGCTGCATGAAGGAGCTGTCCAAAATGAGTGGCTTTGTCTGCCTATATAGTGGTGGAACCGCTGTCTGGGGCTGCATAGAGGTGGTCGGCTGAGTGGAGGTGGTGGGCTGCCTGGAGATGGGAGGTGGTGGGCTGCCTGGAGATGGGAGGTGGTGGGCTGCCTGGAGATGGAAGGCTTCGTGCAGCTATCTTTCTTCTGTGTCTTGGAAGTAGACTTTGTTGACCCCTTTGTTAAACCCTTCACGGATGACAAAGCAATCGGTTTTGTAGTTGTTATCACCTTGTTATCCCTTAGTTGGAGACGGCTTTGATGAGGAAGAGGATGAACACTTCTTCTTCTTTGCAGGAACTGTAAGTTCTTCAAAGGGTCAGAAGAAACCGCAGGAGACTTCTTTTTTTACTTTGTAGATCACTTAAATAGGGTGTCAACACTTCCGCTACCTAGGGAATAGCTAGGAATGATCTAAAAGAACTTCTTCTCTGAAATCAAGACTGGGTCTCTTCATCTGAAGAAAGTGTAGGTGTTGAGACAACCCTCTTCTTCTATTAAGACATAATCATTACATATGATGAAATTAGGTTAATTTTGATAGGATGGCTTGGATTTCGGACCTCAGGAAAAATTTCCAAACTTCTCAGTTGTCGCGAAAATGAGAGTGACGAGTATACCAGCTTGATCACGTGTTTCCGATGCACATGCGCGGCTGAATGGGTGCGTTAGGGTGGGCTCTGGGAACACAGTTCCAGAAGTTTCCTTGACCTTTCGGAAAAGAGAGAGATAAGCAATTAGTATGAATCAGGATAAGGTCAAATCTACTATATATTTTTTCAGGGGCACAGGAATGTATGTACCATCACCATACCAACACAGTGCCTAGACCTTACATTGCCATTCCATCACCGTAGTATCACCATACCGATATCATACCATATCATCACGATACCAACACCGTGCCAAGACCTTAAATCGCCAATCCATCCCCGGAGTATCACCACACCAATACCATACAATAGCATTACCATCACCATACCAACACCACACTAACGCGATACCATCACAATGCCAACACCATATCATCACCCATACCATTACCATACATTTTCCGAACCAACACTGTCATCACCCATACCATTACCACACTAAAACCATGCCATCACTATACCATCACCGTACAAACATCAAACCAAAACAGCATACCTTTTACCGATCCAACACCACCATACCATCATACAATCACCTCACATTTACTAACATCATACCATGAAGACACCAACACCTTACCAGTACCATACCAACACTATACCATCACCATACCATGTCAATAACATCCACATATTAACACCATACCGTCGGCATAATATAACCGTACCAAAACCTTTCTGTAATCATACCATCACAATACAACAGTTTACCATCACCAAACCAATAACATCCACGTATCAACATCAGACATTCGGCATACCATAATCGTATCAAAACCGTACAATAATCATACCATCACCATACCATCACCAAACGTGTAGCAACACCTTACCCTCACCATACCTAAACCATATCAAACATCATACCATCTCCTTGAATAAAGACCAGGGATCAGCTTCACAAAGCCGTGTTATCGCTCAGACTACCTTAAGTCGTTACGCACTAAGAATTTGTGGAATAGGGCCCAGGTGGCTTGGCTAATCTATCTCAAATAAGAAAACAGTAAGACATCATATTCATACAACTATCCTTAATCTGGTACAACATGTGTCTTGTAAATGAACATGAACGTTAGTGTTGAACTTTGTAAGAAGAATCTGTCAGCAAAGCTTAATTCTTAAATGAATTAGAAACTATATGCAGGTACATACTTGTAATCTCTTTGGTTGTTTGTTTACCTGTTTCCATTGAATTTGTAGAAAAGACGTGGATCCCTGTTATTGTTTTGAATGATCCTGAGGAAAGTGTTGCTGTATGTGTAGCTTTGTCGTTTTCGGGGATCACTAGAATGCTCCTGTGAAATGAAATGTTGAATGGAGTATGTTTATATGACATCAAACGTGGACGAGACCTTTTGCATTGTGTCAGTTATCAGCGGGTTCACAACATAAGTGTATCGTACACTGTTTCAAGTTTCAGGATAATTCATTTATGTAGTAAAATGACATGGTCTGAACTGACTCATTTCAATGTATCAAGCATGAACTATAAATGGCAATACATCATGCATAACGCCAGTGCATTGCAGCTCCATTTTCTGAGTGCATATAATTGTCTGTGCCCCCTTGCAGAATATTGAAGTGAAGGTCATGAAGTGAATGTCCGAATAGGAACCACATATGATTCGCTCGGATAAGGGCTTTCAGTGAGTGAGTTGGGCTTAACGCTGATTTGAACATTGAAGGCTTGAAACACAGGTCTTCAGTACAGAAACATAATAGTATTGAGGAATTAACAAGACGTCTGTAATAAAGGAGGTAGGTTTAAACATAACCTTATCAATATGGAATATCATAAAATGTAATGACATCATGAAATACATTATTTAGTAAACCATTTGTAGATATGACCCTGTATGCATACTTGGTTTTGGCTGTACAACTATATCGATCGACACAAATAATGAAATGTGTATCCAACCTGTTAGTTCTGTCAACAATGTACAGAAAGCCATTGAAGACTGCTATGTCCATGAAGTGAGGCTTGGTCACAATGTCCGTGTAGTGTGTTTTCCTGTTGGTGCCATCCTGCTGGATGGAGTACACGTTCCCGTTGTATTCGCACCAATAGAGACGTCCGGCTTGATATGATCAGAATCATTTAAAGACGAGGAATTAAGGAATATTTACATGAAGTAACATCCTTCACGATTCAACTTTAAAACAAATAATTGATACAAATTGATTATGTTTTCATACATAGATATGGATACATACATCCATGTAATATATACTGAACCGCAAAAGAGACGTCATCATAGATAGATATGTGAGAATCCTTATTTGTCCAAACACTGTAAACATACTTTTAGACATATTAAAAAGATGAAACTTGGCAAAACTGATCTTCAAGGTTGAAATTAAAGTGTCAAATGTTCTAAAAGTGAAACACAACACTAGTCTCTGAGAAAATGGCACCATAAGTCAGTATCTCGTGTTTCCGCCTTGTGCACTGATGACTGCTGTGCAACGTCGATACATGGAATGGATGAGGTGGTTGATGAAGGCCATAGGCACTTGAGCCCACACTCTGAGGAACGCCTGACGCAGTTCAGCTGCAGGTGTCGGCCTTGGTCGGACGTCATTCAGCCGTCTTTCAATCTCGTCCCATAGGTGCTCAGTGGGATTTAAATCGGGACTGAGGGAAGGCCACTGCATGGTTCTGATGCCATTCTGCTGGAGGAAGTCTCTTGTTGCTCTCGCAGTGTGGTCACGGGCGTTATCATGCTGAAACTCGTGTTTGCAGTGACGTGCCAAATGAGGTATGGCATGTGGTCTCAAGACTTGATCAATGTACTGAACTGCTGTGATACCATAGACCCTAGACCGATGTTCTGGAAGATCACAGGGCCGACCCTCAATGCAAGACCAATTCCACCCCACACCATGATGCTCGGACCACCCCAGAGTCTCTCTCAACAACACAAGCATCCGAATAACGCTCCCCACGGCGTCGCCAAACTCTCTCTCTGCCATCTGCTTTTGAGATACAGTAGCAGCTCTCGTCTGAGAAGAGGACTCTTCTCCACTGTTGGTGGCGCCAATGCTAGTGCTGTGTTGCCCACTAAAGACCGGTCCTTGGTGTGGCCTGTGACAGTGCAGGTGTCTGCTCTTCAATCGTTGACGCACGGTGTCCGCACTAATGTGTCGCTGGTGTGTCCCCATGGTCTGTCAAGCCTTTTCCGCAGCAGTAACAAAGTGATCTTGAAGATACTATCGCAATACTGTCAACTGCTTCACGATCCCGACGTCGGATGGTGATCCTTGGTCTTCCACTACGTAGTCGGGCATCTGTAGAGTTGGTGGTCTGGTACCGCTGCTGGAGCCTGTACATGGTCCTTAGGTGGACTTCGTCCAAGGGCTTGGTGTCGCTGATTACTTGTCAATCTTGGCATGTGGTATTAATTCAATAACGAATGAATGTTATCCGTTCTGGGCGGATTTTTAAAGGGCAAGAAATGGGGGAACGCATGTGCATTTCAATTTGCATGGAACTCACGTGCATCGGGTGACCATGGCCGTTGCTGTGATGCGGTTGGGTGATCGGTTCTATTGTCATCTGCTTTGTTTTTTATCATCAAATGTCATTTTTCCGGACAAGGTAATGTTAAATTTAAGAAACTGACAATAATTACCCAGATATTTCAATGACAACTTTTCATGCATGTTACTTGGGGTTACGTTTCTTATGCGGTTCAGTATATGTAGGAATACCTATATATATAGAATACAGCCAAGGTACAGTTCACGACTAGGAAGTATATCGTTATATTACATGTCATCGTGTACATTCAACTTTGTTATGATAGATGATGTTACAATAGTGTGCATTAAAGGATAGTTAATAGTTGGTTTCTTTTGATTTTGGCTAAGCTTATTCCAGATGGAATATGCATACATTACTATATATATAGCAACTCCTGTACTATATTCCCTCTTCAAATAGCTCTGTTATGATTCTACATCTTTTCAAAATTTACTAATTTTATGGTTTTGTTTTAGTTTACTGATATATCTTCCAGTTGAACACTTGAAAACCTCTTAAAGTCGGCCGTTTATCTTGTAAAACGCTGTTGAAGATATATAATATTTAACAACTATGTAGAATATATTGTTTCACAATTTGTGATTTATACCAAACAGTATATGAATTAAATCTTTGCTCAACTCAAAATGACTCACTTCCCTCACCCGTCTAATGCTGATTTCTACATAATAAATACTACATTCACTGCAAAGATGGAGGACAGTTAGATTATCTTCTGTACATAAAGAGCATAGTTAATCATCTTTTTTTCGAATCTTATACAAAAATTCATTAACAGTAATAAGTGAATGAAATATTCAGAATGTTTTTATCTGCAGAAAACATATAACCCTGTCTTTAATTGATGTGCACTCTTTTAAAAACGTCACTCACAAGCCTTAATCATGTTTTGTTTTGTTTTCAATATCTGTTCCATAGCTTTGTTTCCATCATATATAATGGGTTGACTTGTCACCTGATCTTATTTTATTCTTAACTGTTTTCAATGAACTGGGTCTAATGGATGAAAAGGACTTTTTCATATCATTGCACTATCATTCTGCAATAAGTCAGATAAATTACCCATAACTTTTTCAAACCAGCTTCTACAAAACATAGGTTTCGTATCATCTTGAATCTGTATTTCAAAAATGGGGAGTAAATCTGTACAGCACGGGAACATTATGCTCGTTTATATGTTATATAGGTGTTGTCAAACTCACTGTTCTCGTTCATAGTAATCCCCATAGGTGCGTAAATGTCCGTTGATACGAGAGTACCTCTTCCACCTCCATCGTAGTTGCAAGAATTAATTGTGTGAGTCAAATGATCAACCCAGTACAGTTTCCTGAAAAAATAAAGCACCTACAGTGATTCATACTCAATATTGGAGCTCTTTTTAGCGATATCATTATAGATCAAGTAGCAAATAAACGGACTACCAGAAGTTTGTAAGGCAAAGCTAATCATATGATTTACTAATCCAACACAATTTAGAAAATGTCAGATGTAACTATCATGCCATAGACCTGTGACGAATGTTATTTCGCAAAGAATGGACAATTATGGGAACTCATGCAGGGATTTGAGCCCAGAACTTTAGCTTGTATTCACAACGCTGTAACCACACGTCAGCCTTCCGCTTCATTGTGTAAAGCTGTGACAATATGTAACCAAATGACATAAAGCTGGCACATGTGTGACATAAAGGTACTGATGCATGAATAGTTTAAAGAATTTAACATAAGATATTTGTAATGTCGTAGAAACATTGAATGTTTTTGTTGTTTTTCTAAACATGCAAATGAAAAACATGCAAATTTTATGTTGTGAAACTTTAGATATTTGAAAGCGAAGGTATGGTGGAAAAAAGTGCTCTCTTTATTTTACTTTCAGACAACTATTGTTCATGCACATTCTACTGATAATGATTATTGTATAAGCAATCAATTTCCTTGTCCACGTTTTCCCTGACCAAAAGATATTTTCTGTAAAATCTGCAATAACAATTACTTGGCGTAACTGTCAATTTGTAACAATTTGTAGCAAGAAAGAACGCTCTTACCTGTCGGATTTGTCTGCTACAATGCCTTGGGGGTAGCTGATATTTGAACTTACAATCGTTGTCCTTGCAAATCCATTGATATTGATGCTAACAATGACTTTATTTCCTCTGTCTGTGTAGAAGATTTTGCCGGCACTGCCATCAACAGTGAGGCCTTCAGGGTAAGCAACTGAAAAGTACATAAGTGTGCATGGCCTTAAGAGTGATACGACTTTAGTGCCTCACACTATGGTAAGCTAAGTGATCGGCTCAGAAGTCCATGACCCACATCAACACAAAAACGTCAGTGAGTGACTTTGAAAAGTATTTCAGTAATGTCATGGTGTTTCAAGCTTGTTGCAGGTCTTGGGCGTTTACTACTTTGGTGAAAGCCACGAGCAAGCCTGACAAACATAATCAGGGCTCATTGGGATTACAGCAACAATTACCATTCGTTTTACAATATATTAAAATTCTTGAAAACTAATTCACCTACTGTTGTTCAGTTTTGCAACAAGAGAATCGTCTCCACCAGTTAGTTCAACACTCCGGATTTCCTTTCTGCTTATATCCGTCCAGTAGATTCGCCTGGTGACATTGTCATAGTCAATGGCTGTAGGGGTGGTGATATAAGTAAGAGGATGCTGCCTCAGCCTGCCGCCATAGAGATCCCATCTGTGAACAAATCCTTGGGCGAGAAGTGTGTGGCGTTCAGTCAACAGGATCACAACTTCAGGGTGACCTAAAAAGACAATATAATAATTATATATAAATTGTCATTTCAACTTTGCCGAAACAGATAGCTTTTAGCGTAAAGGGCAAAATACCTGTGAAAATATATTAATTGAAAGTCAGTGATGACACCAGGCTCCGGGATCATGAAACTAACTTAAGACCGTATTTTGTCTTAACTCTTACGTTTAAGACTTAAGACAAAAAATTGTCTAAAATCGGGAAGCACGAAGCTCAATCTATGAAAATATCCTAAGTTTAAGACAAAATTTGATCGTAAGTCCTAAGACTGCCCCTGAGTAGACTTTAGACAAAATTTGTAGCAAGAAAGAAGGCGGAGGTTGTTCGTCTCATGCGTCGCCTTGGGGCTAAAAAGGAAAATTCAGCGGGCATTTCGAGACATCAAGATTTTCAACCATCTAGATATGAAGAATGACAACATGCCAAAAGCGACACGCGACAGCTGTGCGACAACCTGAATTTCGCATCTTTTAACGTCTCGGCCAAAATATTTCTTTTGTAGATAACTCAGCAGAATTAATGCTACTGAACTTAAAATCGACCAAGTAAATATAAATTATCAATGCAAGAGAATAACCAGTCTACATTATCCGCCGAAACAGATTCAATTTCGTGTAGGGCAAAATAGTCGTGAAAATTATATGAAAGAAAACAGGCAATGTGCTCGCATTGCACACAAGACTTGTACCACAAAGAAAAATACATGAGACATGTGGACTACAGCAAAGCAGATTACAGTTGGCCTCATCAGTACCCATCTACATTACAGTTTTGGGATCGGGTGGTCAGGCTTGCTGACTTAGTTGATGATATTCCCAATTGTGTGGATCGATGCCCCATGATGTCAATCACTGCCTCTTATTCAACAGCTTGAATAATATGCTTTCGTAAATAAATGTAATATTTAATTACCAAAGAAGATACAAAATACGTGTTCGCTGAAATGTATCCCAAACGGATGTCACTGATCATGTTGTCGCAAGCCATTATGGAACGAGTACTTTTTCAAGAAAGTGTTGTCCTAAATATAACATTTGTTACTTTTTCGATGTTGATGTCCGGTTTTCGACGTATATGCAATGCTTTGATATTCAAATTTAAGGCTTAATCATATTAAACCATACATACGCAAGCGAGGTAATTTTTTCTGCTTATGTTTAGCTTTATCGCCCTAATTTTCAATTAGCGATGCTGTCGCAAGCGGCTTTATTAGTAGCATCAAACAAACATGTATAAAACTGGTATAATGCATGTGTACCAATTCTTTTCTATGATAGTTGCATCTGCAGTATTCTGGCAGCTGAAACTGGAGCAAACAACCAAGCAAGACATTAGTGCTCAGTCAAAAATGAACGTTTGAGATGACTTGATCAATATTGGGCCAATCATAACCCCAATATTGGTGAAACAGTCGTTTATACATGGTCCAGAATAGTCTCCCAATGACAATTTGAGGGAGTCGTGTCTACTCCTTTTGCAGCACCTAACGTAGCAAGTTACCTTTGGCGTACGCGCATCCTGCTCATGTCCTAGACATGATATGTTGGGCAAGGGTCAGGAGTCCCGGCTGGCCATTGCATTCGGGTGATGTTTTGCTATTGGAAGTAATCAGTCATGGTACGTGCGGGGTGAACATGAACATTATCGTCTTGAAAGACAAAACAAAGACCAGCCTTGCACGCAAACGTCACAACTATTGTACGCAGTATGTTGCCTCGGAAATATTGTCCACTGACCTATGAACAATATGCAGTGGTGTTCTCTCAGCCATAGTGATCCCGCCCTACATACAGACCAAACCTATATCTGTCATGTTGCCATACGTTGACTTTCGCGTGACGTTCCTATGGACGGTTTGAGAAATGTCCATGCCTATCCAGGAGTGAATCTGGACTCACCTGAAAACATTACACAAGACCATCGGTGATTCTCACAGTTTCTATGTTCTAAACATCATTGTAGTATAACGGAGTTCCTTCCATTTACCTTTTTCCTGACACATGTTGCCCGTCCAACCTGATTGGCAACCGCTTGGACACTGCCCAGTCTCGTGGTGACATGTTGTCCCTGTTTGACAATGTCCGCACGGGGAAGAGCATCCCTTGCCGTATGTTCCAAGACACGCTAATGAACATACATCAGGGATATTATTATGTGAATGGATAAATATTCTTGGAATACTAACAATGTCGATATCATGTCGGATTGAAAGTATCTATTAATTTGCCCAACTTCATCACTTTTAGTGCAGAGGTTCCCTATATACTTACTAGTATCATAGTTCCAAAACACATCATATTTTATTCTAATTTTTTTTCAATAATTTTGACTTTATAAAATAAATATAAAACAACATAATTTGTGTACATGACTCAATAATTAGTGTACTAAAAGTCTATCTTAGTCATGTTGATACCGTTAAGCGTTAAGACTACATGCATATGTAAGTCATATTTTATTCTATTTTTTTAATGAATAATTTTGACTCAATAAAATGAAAATAAAACAAGATAATTTGCGTAGAAGTGTTTTTAGTATTTTCCCTTTTGTGCTTCAGCAGGGAGGTTCCATAGTACACAGTAGACAGTTGTCACAATAATAAACACATATCTCACATAACAACCTCGTCCTGTTAAGGAGCTTTGTATTTACCTTGAGTGCAGAAGTTTCCCTTGTACCCTGCAACGCACCCACCCAAGCAGTTCCCCGTGGTCTTCTCGCACAGAAACACGCCACCGGCACATTGGCCACACACACTAGTACACCCAGCACCGTATCGTCCGTCAGCACACCCTGGAAAGAAAATTGAGTAATTAGGAGACGGACCCACTGTGATTTGTATTTTGAGCTAGGTCATCATTGTTTGAACACCACCAACAGAGGAGAGAAACATCGTAAGATGGGACAGGTTATTTTAAATAGTTGAAGCGAAAATGGTGGCAAAGCAGAATTAGAAGGTTCAATTAATTCTTTCACATTTCTATTCACCTTGACAAATGAAATTGGAAACATCATAAGACAGGACAACTTTGTTCAGTAAAAAAGAGGTTGTGGGAGTATCGAAGGCAGGAAATGACCACATTGACAGGAGCAGTAAACAGACTCATTTATTGAATGTAGCTTGGAGTAAAAATGGAACCCCAGACATTCTTTGCCTTCTTTGGTGCTACCAAGTTAGCTACTGCACAGCACCTGTGCATCAGGTCGGTAGTTCGAATTTCACCTCAGCTCACTTTACAGAAATGTATTTTTTAAAAGTAAAAATATCATTAATACTTATCCTGGCTCATAATAATTGGTTATCTATCTCTTTTCTGAAAGGAAGTGGAAACGTCCTGAACTGTATGATCAGAGAATAGAAAAACAGCTCGCCCGAATGCACCCTTTGAGACGCGCACTGGAAACACGTGACCAAGCAGGTATATTCGTCACTCTTGCATTCTCTTACCTTACGGCTGAAACACAGAGGAAGAGGTGACGGCTGGGTGGGCTTTATAGCGAATGAGTCAGGATAAGTATAAATCTAACAGGCACATATTTTGCCTTATCCTGACTCATACTTATTGCTTGAATCCCTCGGTAGGTGGTGGGTTGTACCTGTGTGTGTGTGTGATTCATATCGAGATTTGTTCAATTAATCCCTTTGGGATAATCTTCTTTGTATCCATGCGGTGTACCACCCTCTTTTTGTGAAAGAGAGGAGAAAATAATTTTTCCCGCTTACTTTATACAATTAAGAGAAGGTCATAAACTCAACACAATCGTTTTCACACATGTTCTAACTTGCGTCGTTATACAGGGAAACATGGACTCTCAGTCATTGGTTATGGGACAGTAACCCGACATCGACAAGTCTGCATGATAGTGGGTGAGTACTCGTAGGAAGGTCTATCTTCTAGTAGGCACTGTCAGTTGTTGTGTAACTACATATGGTCCAGCAACATCTTGTGTGGAGAAATCTCTGAGATAATGATTAGCAAAGACAGTGACTGATCTCCCCCCAAAAACTTCCATAATCCTTGAGATGGAGCGGTTGACGTGAAGCTCTCGGGTAGACGCTATGGCTCTCACGTTGTGCGAATGGGATGCTGATGGTGGATTCAATCCTGCTGTCTTGTAGGCTCTGATTTTGACTGCTCTCATCCAGAAGGAAATGATTGTTCTGGAGGCTTCTGCTAACCTATTCCTGCATAACGGAATGAACAGTCTTCTCAGCATTAGTAGATATTTAATGCTCGAATCTTGTACGTGACAACTTGATCGCATGTATTTCTGATATCTTGGCCGTGGCTAGGGCCAGTAGAAATAACGTCTTCTGAGTCAGATGTTTAAAATCAGCTTGTTGTAGAGGTTCATAAGCATCACTTGTAAGATTGTTAAACACCACATACAAATCTCAGGCCAGGGCTCTGCATTTCTTTTGTTGATCTTCAAACCTGTCTGATCTCAATAACGCTTTCAATTCTGAAACCTTCATGAGCCTGATTTCGTTACCCATGGTTATTACGGAGCTGATAGCTGCTAGGTAGGTGCCTAAAGTTGAACTCTTGACATTCCTTATATATCTGAGGTAACACGAATTCTGCACTTAGTGGTGGAGTGGCTTTAACTGCTGTAAATCCCTTGGATCTCGTAAAAAGGTCACACCTCTTCCACTTATGGTCATATAGACTTCTAGTAGATCTGCAAAGCGCTAGGGATACCCTGGTCTTTGATTAACTTGCTTGGTGTGAGGATGTTTCAGAAGATGTGGCCAGTTTGGTAGCTTCAGGGTTGGTTTCTCTGCCAATGCAATGAGCTTGGGAAACCAGGTTCTTGCCAGCAAATGAGGCGCGACCAAAAGCAGTAGTACATACTTCATGCACAATGATCTTCCGTACTTTCAAATGTATCGCTGCTGGTGATGGGAACGCATGCTATCTGTCTGTTGAATCTGGTTGCAAATATATCTACTGAGTTGATAACGTGGAGATTGCTTTCGTCTGTGGACCAACGCTCGGTCCAATTTAGATCTAATAAGTGCACTAGCCAAAGCCGATTGTCGAGACACCGACGTAACGGAAGTTGTAAGTATTATATAAATGAAGCTGCATCTAGTAAATTGAGGAGGAATATAAAATTCTTCGGTCTGAATGATCATATCAAGTACGATGATCAAACCGTGTACGTAGAGATCATTGAGAATATATGCCGAATCAACGTGTATATTTTCACAAATTCCCGATCATCAAATGTGAGGGATGACTTGTCTTTCCGGGTTAATCGTCGCAATGCTTCTTGTGAAGAGGCGATGGATTCCCTTGCCTGGGTGTCCTATAGGGGCTATCATTCTTGTATCAAGGCGACAATGAAGGGTGGTGCCTCTGTGTGAATTATTCCGCGTGTTGTCATCAGAGGTCTACTGAAGATAGTTAAATAGTGCCAGGCGTCTGAGGGTGCGGTTGCAGCATGACGTAAAAGTAATCATGCAAAACAATCTGTAAAAATGCACTGCATGGGTCGCATTAGGTCGGTTTGAAATAATTTACAGTCAGTGAAATCTTGACACGTGACATGTAAATCATCCTGCACAGGAAACTGGAATACTGCATTCTAGCAGAGGACGAAGTCCAAGCTCCAAACACTGACACTCCAGTGTGAACTGTATGGTAGAAGGACAATGTGGTGTCCCGAGTTCTGAAGGACAATGGTGTATATGCAGTCAGTTCCCTGTAGAATGTATAACGTGTGTGGCGTCGTAGCAAGTCTTTTACACATGATGCATGTAGATGACTGGAAATGGTCTGCCCATCACACTGGTGACACGGAAGCGATGATGTGACTGCAGGGATTTGGATCCGTATTGAGAATTATGAAGGCAGTGAATGATGATACCGGAACCCGGATACCATGCCGTCTCTGTCGAATGCATAATCAATCGTAGACAGATTGGTACTAAGGCTTGAATACCAGACTGAGACCGTGGGTGATATGAGAGATCCCTTCGGACGAATGCGTGGAGGAGGTAGATTGCACGTAGGATATGTTCAAAGGTTGAAACTGTTCAAAGGCGTAACTAGCAACCAGGTCAGTGTGTGATGACGACGCAGGTATATAACTCTTGGAAAAAGGTGACATGTTATGCTAACGTTGAAGTTTGTGTGAAAGTTGGAGGCTGCACGAAGGTCCGAGTCTGCCCGAAGGAATGTGGGTGAACCTTTGATATTGTCGGAGGTTTGGTAATCTGCTGATGCTGCAACGTGGTGGGTTGCGAGCAGGTGTACTTTCCTAGAGGAGAGAGGTTTCATGGACTCCTTCAAGGATGATAATTTGTCTTCATGGAGGTGGAAGCCTTTGTAAAGGAATCCATTGTCGTGAATGGAGAGGGAAGAAGTCTGCATTGAAACCAGAAGTTGGTAGCCCCTGAGTTCTTGTTCTTCACAGGTGGAGGGATATTCCTCCCAATGGGTTGATCGTTAAGTCTTCTATTCATCAACTGATCATGCTGATATGCCGCTCTTTACCAAGTATAAATGTTGTCAGAATGTAGGCTGCATGAACCCTTGAAATTGTGTAAACGCTGGAGGCTGCATGCATGCAAGGTGCTGCATGAAGGCCTGAGGCTGTGTGAGGGTCTATGGCTGCATGAAGACCGGAAACTGCGTGAAGGTCTGGGGTTGCATGAAGGCCAGAACCTTCGTGAACGTCTATGGCTGCATGAAGGCCAATGGCTGTGTGAAGCTAGAACCTGCGTGAATGTCTACGGCTGCATGATATGAACCTGCGTGAAAGACTTGGGTTGCATGAAGGACTGGTCCTGTGTGAAGGCCTGTGTCTACATGGAGGAGCTGTCCAACATGAGTGGCTTTGTCTGCCTATATAGTGGTGGAACCAGAGTGAGTGAGTTGGGTTTAACGCAGCTTTTAACATTATTCCAGTCATATCACGGGGTATCAGCTTAATGTGGGAGGGAAGGCGAACTGATGCAGGTCTCCGGCGTTTACCACTTTGTAGAAACCCACGAGCACGGGTATTGTGCTGACAAACCTAGAAAAATAAATAAGGGTGAACCGGGATTCGAACCCACAATCATAGGTTTCTGGCGTGCCCAAGGGACGCAACTCTGCACAGCGAATCGCGGCGCCTTAGACGACTGAGCCACCCCTGCCCCCAGTGGAACCAGAACTATATAGGGCTGCATAGAGGTGGTCGGCTGAGTGGAGGTGGTGGGCTGCCTGGAGATGGAAGGCTTCGTGCAGCGATCTTTCTTCTGTGTCTTCGAAGTAGACTTTGTTGACCCCTTTGTGAAACCCTTCACGGATGACAAAGCAATCCGTTTTGAAGTTGTTATCACCTTCGCATATGTTCCCTCTTAGTTGGAGACGGCTTTGATGAGGAAGAGGATGAAAACTTTTTCTTTGCCAGGAACTGTAAGTTTGGTCAGAAGAAACTGCAGGAGACTTTTTCTTCGACTTTGTAGATCCCTTCAATGGGGTGTCAACACTTCAGCTACCTAGGGAACAGCTAGGAATGATCTAAAAGAACTTCTTCTCTGAAATCAAGACTGGGTTTCTTCATCTGAAGAAAGTGTAGGTGTTGAGAAAACCCTCTTCTTCTTTATCAAAGTCGTCTCTGATGAGGATGACGCAGATCGAGTTGATTCCCTCCCTCTCCGAAGATATATTGTGCAAATTCTTCTTCCTACCCAAGGAGCACTGTAGCTACATCTCTTCTCTACACAATGCAGTGTTGAGGAAAGCAGTTTTAACAAATGGGGACGAGGGTTTCTGAAATACGAACGTTGCATATATTACATGATTTCATAGTGAAAACAGAGGTAACTTTAAGTCCAAAAATATGGAAAATGTAAGCCAATTATTAAGACATAATCGTTACATATGATGAATAAAGGTTAATTTTGATAGGATGGCTCGGATTTCCGACCTCAGGAAAAATTTCCAAACTACTCAGTTGTCGCGAAAATGAGAGTGACGAGTATACCAGCTTGATCACGAGTTTCCGATGCATATGCGCGGCTTAATGGGTGCGTTAAGGTGAGCTGCTTTTCTGTTCTCTGGGAACACAGTTCCAGAAGTTTCCTTGACCTTTCGGAAAAGAGAAGAATAAGCAATTAGTATGAATCAGGATAAGGTCAAATCTACTATATATTTTTTCAGGAGCACGAAAAGCATGTACCATCACTGTACCATCACAATATGCATACCCAGATCCAACTGTCACCATATCAACATGACACCATCACGATAACAACACCTTGCCAAGACCTTACATTGCCATTCCATCACCGGAGTATCACCATAACAATATCATACCATATCATCACGGTACCAACACCGTGCCAAGACCTTACATCGCCATTCCATCACCGGAGTATCACCATACCAATACCATACAATAGCATTACCAGCACCATACCAACGCGATACTATCACAATGCCAACACCATATCATCACTCATACCATTACCACACTAACACCATGCCATCACTATACCATCACCGTATAAATGTCAAACCAAAACAGCATACCTTTTACCGATCCAACACCACCATACCATCATACAATCACCATAAAATCACCATAAAAGCACCATACAATCAACATACAATCACCACATCATCACCATACTAGCAACATAAATGTGCGATAATCTTGGATGCAGCGTTAAACACCATTTCACCTCACCTCACATGTACTAACATCATACCATGAAGACACCAACACCTTACCAGTACCATACCAACACTATACCATCACCATACCATACCAATAACATCCACATATTAACAACATACCGTCGGCATAATATAACCGTACAAAAACCTTTCTATAATCATACCCTCTCCATACCAACAGTATACCATCACGATACCAATAACATCCACGTATCAACACCATACCTTTGGCATACCATAATCGTATCAAAACCGTACAATAATCATACCATCACCAAACGTGTAGCAACACCTTACCCTCACCATACCTAAACCATATCAAACTACATACCATCTCCTTGAATAAAGACCATGGATCAGCTTCACAAAGCCGTGTTATCGCTCAGACTACCTTAAGTCGTTACGCACTAAGAATTTGTGGAATAGGGCCCAGGTGGCTTGGCTAATCTATCTCAAATAAGAAAACAGTAAGACATCATATTCATACAACTATCCTTAATCTGGTACAACATGTGTCTTGTAAATGAACATGAACGTTAGTGTTGAACTTTGTAAGAAGAATCTGTCAGCAAAGCTTAATTCTTAAATGAATTAGAAACTATATGCAGGTACATACTTGTAATCTTTTTGGTTGTTTGTTTACCTGTTTCCATTGAATTTGGAGAAAAGACGTGGATCCCTGTTATTGTTTTGAATGATCCTGAGAAAAGTATTGCTGTATGTGTAGCCTTGTCGTTTTCGGGGATCACTAGAATGCTCCTGTGAAATGAAATGTTGAATGGAGTATGTTTATATGACATCAAACGTGGACGAGACTTTTTGTATTGTGTCAGTTATCAGCGAGTTCACAACCTAAGTGTATCGTTCACTGCTTCAAGTTTCAGGATAATTCATTTATGTAGTTAAATGACATGGTCTGAACTGACTCATTTCAATGTATCAAGCATGAACTATAAACGGCAATACATCATGCATAACGCCAGTGCATTGCAGCTCCATTTTCCGAGAGCATATAATTATCTGTGCCCCCTTGCAGATTATTGAAGTGAAGGTCATGAAGTGAATGTCCGAATAGGAACCACATATGATTCGCTCGGATAAGGGCTTTCAGTGAGTGAGTTGGGCTTAACGCTGATTTGAACATTGAAGGCTTGAAACACAGGTCTTCAGTACAGAAACATAATAGTATTGAGGAATTAACAAGATGTCTGAAATAAAGGAGGTAGGTTTAAACATAACCTTATCAATATGTAATATGTAATGTAATGACATCATGAAATACATTATTTAATAAACCATTTGTAGAAATGACCCTGTATGCATACTTGGTCTTGGCTGTACAACTATATCGATGACACAAATAATAAAATGTGTATCCAACCTGTTAGTTCTGTCAACAATGTACAGAAAGCCATTGAAGACCGCTATGTCCATGAAGTGAGGCTTGGTCACAATGTCCGTGTAGTGTGTTTTCCTGTTGGTGCCATCCTTCTGGATGGAGTACACGTTCCCGTTGTATTCGCACCAATAGAGACATCCGGCTTGATATGATCAGAATTATTTAAAGATGAGGAATTAAGGAATATTTACATGAAGTAAAATCCTTCACGATTCAACTTTGAAACAAATAATTGATACAAATTGATTATGTTTTCATACATAGATATGGATACATACATCCATGTAATATATACTGAACCACAAAAGAGACGTTATCATGGATAGATATGTGAGAAACCTTATTTGTCCAAACACTGTAAACATACTTTGAGACATATCAAAAAGATGAAACTTGGCAAAACTGATCGTCAAGGTTGAAATTAAAGTCTCAAATGTTTTAAAAGTGAAACACAACACTAGTCTCTGAGAAAATGGCACCACAAGTCAGTATCTTGTGTGTCCGCCTTGTGCACTGGTGACTGCTGTGCAACGTCGATACATGGAATGGATGAGGCGGTTGATGAAGGCCATAGGCACTTGAGCCCACACTCTGAGCAACGCCCGACGCAGTTCAGCTGCAGGTGTCGGCCTTGGTCGGACGTCATTCAGCCGTCTTTCAATCTCGTCCCATAGGTGCTCAGTGGGATTTAAATCGGGACTGAGGGAAGGCCACTGCATGTATCTGATGCCATTCTGCTGGAGGAAGTCTCTTGTTGCTCTCGCAGTGTGGGCACGGGCGTTATCATGCTGAAACTCGTGTTTGCAGTGACGTGCCAAATGAGGTATGGCGTGTGGTCTCAAGACTTGATCAATGTACCAAGCTGCTGTGACACCATTGCCTCTCCCTGGACCTATGTTCTGGAAGACCACAGGGCCGACCCTCTATGCAAGACCAATTCCACCCCACACCATGATGCTCGGACCACCCCACGAGTCTCTCTCAACAACACAAGCATCCGAATAACGCTCCCAACGGCGTCGCCAGACTCTCTCTCTGCCATCTGCTGTTGAGATACAGTAGCGGCTCTCGTCTGAGAAGAGGACTCTTCTTCACTGCTGGTGGCGCCAATGCTGGTGCTGTGTTGCCCACTGAAGACGGTCCCGGCGATGACGTGGTGTCAGAATGGGTCCTCGGTGTGGCCTGTCACAGTGGAGGTGTCTGCTCGTCAATCGTCGACGCACGGTGTCCCCACTAATGTGTCGCTGGTGTGTCCCCATGGTCTGTCCAGGCGTTTCCGCAGCAGTAACAGAGCGATCTTGAAGATACTGTCGCATACTGTCAACCGCCTCACGATCCTGACGTCGGATGGTGACCCTTGGTCTTCCACTACGTGGTTGGTCATCTGTAGAGTTGGTGGTCTGGTACCGCTGCTGGAGCCTGTACATGGTCCTTACGTGGACTTCGTCCAAGGGCTTGGTGTCGCTGATTTCTTGTCAATCTTGCCGTTGATGTGATGCGTTTGGGCGACCGGTTTTATTGTCATCTGCTTTGTTTTTTTATCATCAAATTTCATTTTTCCGGACAAGCTAATGTTAAATTTAAGAAACTGACAAAAATTACCCAGATATTTCAATGACAACTTTTCATGCATGTAAGTGGGGTTACGTTTCTTATGCGGTTCAGTATATGTAGGAATATCTATATATATATAGAATTCAGCCAAGGTAAAGTTCACGAATAGGAAGTATATCGTTATATTACATGTCATCGTGTACATTCAACTTTGTTATGATAGATGATGTTACAATAGTGTGCATTAAAGGATAGTTAATAGTTGGTTTCTTTTGATTTTGGCTAAGATTATTCCAGATGGAATATGCATACATTACTATATATAGCAACTCCCGTACTTTATTCCCTCTTCAAATAGCTCTGTTACGATTCTACATCTTTTCAAAATTTACTAATTTTATGGTTTTGTTTTAGTTTACTGATATATCTTCCAGTTGAACACTTGAAAACCTCTTAAAGTCGGCCGTTTATCTTGTATAACGCTGTTGAAGATATATAATATTTAACAACTATGTAGAATATATTGTTTCACAGTTTGGGATTTATACCAAACAGTATATGAATTAAATCTTTGCTCAACTCAAAATGTCTCACTTCCCTCACCCGTCTAAGGCTGATTTCTATCATTCTTACATAATAAATACTACATTCGCTTACTGCAAAGATGGAGGGCAGTTATATTATCTTCTTTACATAAAGAGCATAGTTAATCATCTTTTTTCGAATCTTATACAGAAATTCATTGACAGTAATAAGTGAATGAAATATTCAGTATGTTTTTATCTGCAGAAAACATATAACCCTGTCCTTAATTGATGTGCACTCTTTTAAAAACATCATTCACAAGCCTTAATCATTTTTTGTTTTGTTTTCAATGTCTGTTCCATAGCTTTGTTTCCATCATATATAATTGAATGACTTGTCACCTGATCTTATTTTATTCTTAACTGTTTTCAATTAACTGGGTCTTATGGATAAAAAGGACTTTTTTATATCATTGCACCATCATTCTGCAATTAGTCAGATAAATTACCCATACCTTTTTCAAACCAGCTTCTACAAAACATACGTTTCCTATCATCTTGAATCTGCGTTTCAATAATGGGGAGTATATCTGTACAGCACGGGAACATTATGCTCGTTTATATGTTATAAAGGTGGTGTCAACTCACTGTTCTCGTTCATAGTAATCCCCATAGGTGCGTAAATGTCCGTTGATACGAGAGTACCTCTTCCACCTCCATCGTAGTTGCAAGAATTAATTGTGTGAGTCAAATGATCAACCCAGTACAGTTTCCTGAAAAATAAAGCACCTACAGTGATTCTTACTCTATATTGGAGCTCTTTTCATCGATATCATTATAGATCAAGTAGCAAATAAACAGACTACCAGAAGTTTGTAAGGCAAAGCTAATCATATGATTTACTAATCCAACACAATTTAGAAAATGTCAGATGTAACTATCATGCCATAGACCTGTGACGAATGTTATTTCGCAAAGAATGGACAATTATGGGAACTCATGCAGGGATTTGAGCCCAGAACTTTAGCTTGTATTCACAACGCTGTAACCACACGTCAGCCTTCCGCTTCATTGTGTAAAGCTGTGACAATATGTAACCAAATGACATAAAGCTGGCACATGTGTGAAATAAAGGTACTGATGCATGAAAAGTTTAAAGAATTTAACTTTAGATATTTGTAATGTCGTAGAAAAATTGGAATGTTTTTGTTGTTCTTCTAAGCATGCAAATGAAAAACATGCAAATTTTATGTTGTGAAACTTTAGATATTTGAAAGTGAAGGCATGGTGGAAAAAAGTGCTCTCTTTATTTTACTTTCAGACAACTATTGTTCATGCACATGCTTCTGATATTGATTGTTGTATAAGCAAACAATTTTCTTGTCCAAGTTTTCCCTGACCTAAAGATATTTTCTGTAAAATCTGCAATAGCAATAGCTTGGCGTAACTGTCAATTTGTAACAATTTATAAAAAGAAAGAACGCTCTTACCTGTCGGATTTGTCTGCTACGATGCCTTGGGGGTAGTTTATATTTGAACTTACAATCGTTGTCCTTGCAAATCCATTGATATTGATGCTAACAATGACTTTATTTCCTCTGTCTGTGTAGAAGATTTTGCCGGCACTGCCATCAACAGTGAGGCCTTCCGGGTAAGAAACTGAAAAGTACGTAAGTGTGCATGGCCTTAAGAGTGATACGACTTTAGTGCCTCACACTATGGTAAGCTAAGTGATCGGCTCAGAAGTCCATGACCCACATCAACACAAAGACGTCAGTGAGTGACTTTGAAAAGTATTTCAGTAATGTCATGGTGTTTCAAGCTTGTTGCAGGTCTTGGGCGTTTACTACTTTGGTGAAAGCCACTAGCAAGCCTGACAAACATAATCAGGGCTCATTGGGATTACAGCAACCATTCCCATTCGTTTTACAATATATTAAAATTCGTGAAAACTAATTCACCTACTGTTGTTTAGTTTTGCAACAAGAGTATTGTCTCCACCAGTTAGTTCAGCACTCCGGATTTCCTTTCTGCTTATATCCGTCCAGTAGATTCGCCTGGTGACATTGTCATAGTCAATGGCTGTAGGGGTGGTGATATAAGTAAGAGGATGCTGCCTCAGCCTGTGGCCATAGAGATCCCATCTGTGAACAAATCCTTGGGCGAGAAGTGTGTGGCGTTCGGTCAACAGGATCACAACTTCAGGGTGTGCTAAAAAGACAATATAATAATCATATATAAACTGTCAATTCAACTTTGCCGAAACAGATACCTTTTGGCGTAAAGGGCAAAATAGCTGTGAAAATATATTAATTGAAAGTCAGTGATGACACCAGGCTCCGGGATCATGAAACTAACTTCAGACCGTATTTTGTTTTAACTCTTAAGATGCAGACTTAAGACAAAATATCTTAAGAAGGCGGAGGTTGTTCGCCTCATGCGTCTCCTTGGGGCTAAAAAGGAAAAAGTACCAATTCAGCGGGCATTTCGAGACATGGAGATTTTCAACCCTCTAGATATGTACAATGACGATATGCCACAAGCAAAACGTGACAGCTGTGTTTACAAACAACTCGAATCTCGCATCTTTTAACGTCTCGGCCAAAATATTTCTTTTGTAGTTAACTCAGCATAATTAATGCTACTGAACTTATGATGAAAATTGGGGACTTAAGTCCACCAGCAGTAATGTCAACCAAGTAATTATAAATTATCGATGCAAGAATAAATGAATAACCAGTCTACATTATCCGCCGAAACAGATTCAATTTTGTGTAGGGCAAAATAGTTGTGATAATTATATGAAAGAAAACAGGCAATATGCTCGCATTACATACAAGACTTGTACCACAAAGACCCGCAACTCCAGAAAAATACATGAGACATGTGGACTACAGCAAAGCAGATTACAGTTGGCCTCATCAGTATCCATCTACATTACATTTTCGGGATCGGGTGATCAGGCTCGCTGACTTGGTTGATGCATGTCGTCGATCCCAATTGCGTGGATCGATGCTCAAGATGTCAATCACTGGATTGTCTGGTCTATTTACAGACCGCCGTCATATAGCTGGAATTTTCCGAGTGTGTCGTTACATATCAAACAAACCATTCACTCATGAGCATCGATCCACGCAATTCGGATACGGTGACGTGCAATAACCAAGTCAGCGAGCCTGACCACCCGATCCCATTAGTCGCCTCTTACTTCAAGCATAGTCGCCTTTTCGGCAAGCATGGTTTGCTGAAGACCTATTCAACCCGACACATATATGGGATGGAGACTTCATATAACACCACCTCAGGTTGAAACTAGATTTTATTTTTTGCGAAGACTGAACGTCAAGGTGACTCGTGTGAAGTAGTTGTCAAGACACCATATCATGACACTTTATAATTGAGATTGGAATTTGATGAAATGCAATGTACATGCCTCAAATGCATTTGTTTTACTGATTTCCCTGCAGCAGGATCAAGGTTGCTCGGGGCACTGTTAATGTTCATGAAGATCCGGGGTAGAATAGGTCTTCAGCAACCCTTGTTTGTCGTAAGAGGCGACTAACGGGATCTGCTGATATATCTTACTGTTCAGGAATGGAACCAAGTTTCTTGATTTTTTGTCATATTTACTTCAGGACAAGAGATGTTATTAGTTAAATATAATTAATGGATTTTGGATTAACACACTAAAATTTATTAACATGACTCAATTGCATTTGAATACCACTTTACACAAAGCACAAGATATTTTCTAATATCTGACTGAAATAAAGAAACTTTAAAGCAGATACAGTTAAAAGATAAAAATTGCATCCACTAAGCATTCATAAATGAGGTAAAACAGAGAGGTGTTAGTATATTTTGGTATTACAGTATTTTCAAGATTTGACCTTTCACAAATAGGGAAACAAATGTCATGTTATCGAGATAATAAACTGTGACCATTTTGAATTATATCAGATCAATATACCAGAAGTTTAACTTAATATACCCGTGGAGGACAAATCTATAAATGGTTCTTCCACCATTGATTAAATTCCTGTATTTTGCCAATTTGATCAGAAATTCTGATTCACATGCATAAAAAACGAATCACCAAGGAAAGGGGACACAAATGGTGCACATAGGGATGCCTACAAGTTGCCTATTATATCCCTGAATTCCAAAAATATGTTATTTACGAGAAGTCTAGGATATCTCATATTGTTTTCTAAGTAAACTTCAGATTACAACCCAAATTTATCCCCTATGGACATCCCAACACAAGGTCCGCAGCAAGGTGTAAGGTGACGTGGAAATTGTTGGCAAACCAGACATTGGAGAACCAGCAGAAACTAGTTCGCAGATAACTGAATTAGATAGCAATGCAACACCCAATATGGCGGAATATAGTCGAGATGCAGACAGGTTCAGTGGTGAAAGTAGACAAAATGTTGACATTGAGGCAGTTCGACTAGGTTTTTATTTCCATAATAGAAACTCAAGTGACTTCCAACAGAAGTTGGCCATGGATCTGCACTAGAAGGAAATTCTGTGGAAGTATACTACACACAGTGTGCTAAGGATCACCATTTTAAAAGGTAATATGTCAAATTGTGTGCTTATGTTTAAATAGCCAAAGATAATACTCTAACACAATACGTTCTGAAGACGCAGAAACGTTTTCCTGTAGGGAATGCTCACAAGGAAGATTGTTACTTAAACTTTGGCTCTTAAACTTTAGTTTTGTTTCTCCAAATACAGAGAATCTACGAGGAACCCTGAAGGAACATTTCCCCGCGCCAATTATGTTTGTGCGTGTTTGAAACCGAGCTCCAACGAGAGCCCCAACATAAGTTCTGATTGTGTCATTAATTCTTTCAACGCTGAGGTGAGTGAACCTTCTGATTTATCTAAAACGAATTTGTTCAAAGCATTTTCGACAGCTTGTGGTTGCTCAACCTTTTGGACGGTGAAAGCAACACCACCCTTAAAGTTCATAAAATCGTCTCTCCAGTCGTTACTGGGGAGAGCAAAGATCGGTAGAAGCTGACCTCTTTTCATTTAATCATCGCTGACTTCTTTAACAGAGTGTGTGCTACTATGGGGTATACCTAGACCATGGTTAACTCCATGCATGTGCCAATCCCTTTTGTAGAAATAACAAATTCCCCACAAATACTTTCATATGCCCACCGATTGTACCGATTATTTGACGTATTCCTTGCTTGATCCTGTGGTAATGCACTTATTTCTGCAAGGATACGCCTAATCTGACAGTACATGTGAAAGAAGAAAACAGACTTACTTAGTTTGTCACAATGGTCACTAACAGATACGCCAAAGCATGTTGTGGCACGCTGTATAGCAATGTTTAGCTGGTTTTGCCAAAACTCGATTTGAATGGAGAACCAATCATGTACTGTTTTAACGTTCGTTGCCGTGAACCTGTAATTTCTGAAGATATCTGGGAACTGAGTTTGAAACTGAGCACCAGAGACATCGACTAAATTGTTTGGTGTGTAAGGTCGGTTGCTTCTATACTACTCTCGGTATTACCACCTACCATATTGAAATTATAATATAGTATCTTTATATATGTAATATGTATGTTATCCTCCCGGGAATAACAAATCACCAGTATATTCAACTGCTTCCTGCTATTGATAACTCAGCGTGGCAGCTTGAAGTTACTCCCAAAGATATAACATATTTCCCACATGGATAAAGTCCCTTTTGAATGAGCCAGTTACAAAGTGCCACAACTTTATGGAGTCGGTCCTTTCAGATAAAGTAATAACAGAATTCATAGCGGCCAATTCAACCTAAATACAAAATGGTATAGTAAAAATAGACAACCACGCCCAAACTGCAGACACTGTAACACTACAGAAGACTTATTCAATCACATATTCAATCACTGTCCCCAATACAAACAACACCACTGACATCTATACCAATCCCTTCCCCCATAATACAAATACAACATCACACTATTACTGCAACCATCAAATACAACAGCCATATACTCACAACTATCTAAATGACTTAAAAACACTAATCTAGAAAACAGATTTTGGGCCAATCACAAACAAATTATCAGCCCTAAAACTCTAGCTATAAAACACCACCTTAAAAGATTCGGATCGGGATCAAAATTCTGAGTGCGGGGTCCACTTGCACAAAGCGATCTTAGTGCTACAATTATTGTAAATCCTTAAGATCGCGATCTTAGGCTTCGGCTACAATCGTCATCCACTTGCACAAAGCGATTGTAGGCTAAGATCATTGTAAGCTACAATCGAAACTTACAATTGGTCCGGACCAGTAGCTAAGATTGTTGTAGTCCCTGAATAAACTTGACAAAATGGCGTGCAAGGCTTGGTCTGTTTCACATAAATAATCTGCTTTACGTTCAAACATTGCCTCTTTATTTTGTTAAACTTTATAATTCGAATCGACACTTTAACAACATGAAGAACGCGCCACAGCTTTAGGCCTAACGTCAGAAATATCTTTAATTACCAAAGTTGAACACGTAACTATCGAGTCGATAGATAAAAGGAATATTCCCATCCGACTCAATACTGAAAGAAATGTGAAACAACATACCTTTTCGCTAAACAAGGGAAGGATAAAAACCTAAGTCGTCCCGCAAGCGATTTGTAACGCCCGTGACCTTTTTGATAAATCAAGGGCAGCTAATCTTAGTTAATACTCTAGATTGGAGTGGTTTCCCTTTGTACAAGCCCGTAGAGTACAATCTACCTTACCCAATGTATCAATGTTGTTGAATCGCTGAGCTCCCCCTATATTTCTTTTAGGTCACATTCGTGACAGTTATTTTGTCTTTAGTTTATCATTGAATTAATCTACAAATAAATATAGGCTGAAGAGCAATTCATGCATGTTTAAATCTAAAATCAAATGAGACGAGGACGAGCGGTTAAGTATCAGAATTTAAAGAAAAAATACAAGTAGTCATCAAACATATTGATGGAACATTTGCATTTTTGGCAAAATATCCCATAAATAGCAAAAATAAAATTCACTTTAAAAAAAAAAAAATGAATACCCAGTGAATATATAATTTTATAACCCTCCAGTGACATCATCCTATTGTTCTCTGGTCGTGTAAAATATCATAAACAGGGACGCTGTAATGTCCCCGGGATTTTATAGGATATTCAAGTCATATTTGCTATATAATGTGTTATAATATCCGATGGATT